ATGTTGGACCACCTGGCCTCAGCCAATCCTGTGACCCTCTGCGTTCCAATAGCATGCGAGGAAGATAGGCAGCCAACCAGAGAAGGACATGAATCAGATGCAGTATATAATGAGCGGCGTGGCCGGCGTGGCCAGCGTGGTGGACTCGGATGGAAGGCGCCTGGCTCTGGCTTCTGATTGGTCAATAAAGCCTGTTCTGTTGTACCGGTGTTTTTCCTATTAGGGCTCGGGTATTCTACATGTGGCAACTCTGAGGGCGGAGACATATTAGTCCACGCTAGCCTCAGCCAATCCTCTGTCCCGCTGCGATCCAATGGCATGAGAGGAAGATATGGAGCCAACCAGAGAAAGACACAAATGAGGCACAGTAAATAGTGAGCATCGTGGCCAGCCTGGTGGACTCAGATGGATGGAGCCTGACGTGTGGATCTGGCTTGTGATTGGACAATTAAACTTGTTTTGTTGTACCAGTCTTCATACTAGAGCTCGGGTATTCTACAGCCTAGTGTGGCGACGTCTGAGGGCGTAGACATTGGACCATGCTAGTCTCAGCCAATCTTCTGTCTCTGTGCGTTAAAATAGTCTGCGGGGAATATCTGCAGGCAACTAAAGACAGAGGTAGATGAAAAACTCCTGTATGAGAAGATAGATAGGCGAGTCTATGTGAGCGGTAGCTAGCGGATGACCGTGGTCTCTGATATGTCAATTAATCCGGCCCTGTAGTACCTGAATTCTCTAAACTTGGATGCTGGTATTCTACGGAATGGTTTTGCTTGAACCAAATCTAGGCATTAACAGACCACGTCAAGCTCAGATTTCGAAGTTGACTGAAATCTCAGTGGAATGACGCATGTTTGATTACAGTGTGATTACGTTTAAGAACTATTTCAAACTTTTTACCAATGCCTTTATAAATATACTTGATTTATCTAAATATAAGCTTCGCCTACTCAACGCTTATTTGCAACCACATAAAGAAAGTGAGCTATTCTTCACTCTTTTGTTACCAACTATGTTTATCAAAATTCAAAAAAATCTTCATATCTCTTCGATGCAATCCCGATAGAACACACACGTAGATATATGTCCGGATACACTTTTTCACCCTAGATTTCTTTTTAAATTATCTTACCCGACCTCCCTCCTCAAGGTCTCAAAAGATGGCTTTCTGTTTATAAAGAACAAAATTTATTCCCATTTGCTTTTCAAAAGCCCACTAATAACTTTTCTTGCGAATCTTTTGGAACAGTAAATCTTCCCTCTCCATAAATTTAATTGGAATCGTGTCGTTGTAGTTTTTGTTAGAACATACTTATTTATAAGTTATAATTGTGTTTTAGATTTTGACTTACTGCCTGTTTGCGCCTGCGAAATCGTCAACCTTTTTGGGCTAAAAGTAACCAAATATGTTTTGGATTAAATGCGGTTCATAATCGTTTGTTTTTTAAATCGACTCCCTTGTGTACTAAAATTAATTAGTAACACGTTATAAGGCTAAATTGTAGAAACATGCGAATTGTGTCGCGTTACTGTTGGCGGTGCCCTATACTAAGCTCATAAAGTGTATGCGATCACTTAATTTCCCCACAACTTGCAAACACAAATGCTGTGTGGTCCTAGTTTTCTAGGGTGATCTCATTAAAGTCGGAAGTACTTTTCAGGATCAGGTTAAAAGGCCCCATTTATCATTATAATTTTACAACCACACCGTCTGAATTGTCTACTGAATCCCCGTCTCCATTATTGCTCCATTCCCATCTTCTAAAACCTCCTTTCAGTATTCAAGCGATGAGGAAATCTTAAGTAAATATTGACAATCAAACATTTCCATAAAATTTGTGTACGCAAAAAGGAAATTTACCGACTTCCGCTTGTGTCAGTGCACTTTTTACCATCTACATGGAACAGTTAAAGGGGTTTGAGTTTGCAAAAATAATTGCGATGGATGAATAAACAATGTCAAACAATAAGTAAAAATGGTTAACAAAGTGTATAATCCGATTAATTGAGTTGATAGCCAATCTTATTGAAAAAGAAGCAAATCATGCATTAATTCTGACCCATTTCAATGACGAATGAATGAATCTGCTGCCTGGTGGTAAATTGTTGTGATACTTAAAAATGCTTACTTCCTCAAACCTAATTCAATTACGAGACATTACAGGACGCCATCTGATTTTACAGAGGTTTTAAACGAAAGAAAAAAAATTAAATCCGATTTATGCGCTTGTGAATTTTGGCATAAAGGTGCCTTTCCAGGAGAGTCAATTTTGAACCCATTTTACAACACTGGAGTTGTGCCATGTTGTGCAATAAGTCAAGCCCCTCACACTCAGTATTTCATCACTTATTTTTATCGTTACACGTTGTGGTTTTGCTCTACCCTGTCAAAATTCTGCTATGCACTCATAAATTTGACATAATTTTCGCTTCGAAGAAGTATTTTCACCACCAACTCACGATTTCCATCAGGAAGCTTTACCGAAAATCACTTTGAAAAGAATGAAAGATTTGAAAGTAACTAACTGAATTCCTTTGAAAATTGCTGTTCCTGAAACCGCCAGCTTCAGTTCGGCAAAGGGTGGTGGCGTCTGACTGAAATGGAGAAACAAAAGCAGCCCTCATCATCACTCCACCGCCACGACTGTCAACAACATGGGGTCGGTAACGGTTGACAAAATCACTCTTCATGAGACCGATAACGTTTTAAGATCTTGCTTCCTTTGATGAAATTCTTTACGATTGAAAAAGTGTGGAGGAATATATCAAAAATGCGGTCCACGTTAAGGCAACATGACAATTCAGACACAGTTGTTGTCATCCTACAAATTTGAGCAATATTTTCTAATCTTATGTTAAACAATTAACACTAGCAAGGTATTTAAATTGGTGGAATTTTTTGATTTGAAACTTCTCTTTTAACTCAAAACGAATTTGGTGTCGGAGCGGGCTGATGCTACCACGATAAGTCTTGTCGTTCCCATGTGTGGGAGTTGCATCCACACATCGGTAGCATTAATAAATTATCTTACAATCCTTCTGTGCTTTACCACCATACAAACAAAGGGGAGGCAAAAAATGGCGTGCATAGCTAAGCAGTTAGTATGCATACTGGTTTTTTGTCTTATGACTCTCGTGGGAGCAGTGAGGAAGAGGGCCCCGCACCGAAACCAGATACCTGCAGACAGGCGTCGGACAGCGTGCCATCGGTGACGAACCTCCACCAGTCTACTGAGAATTTGAGATGTCATAACTTCACGAAAAACGTCTCGTTTGTCAAATTTGTGTCCAACCTTATACACATTCATGATTTTAATCTCATTCTAACTACATTCAAACTCATCATTTCGGGGGCTGTCCGGTTCACTAAATTCAGTTATTCATAAAAATTAATTTTCAAATTCTAGATGAAACCCTATTGCCAACTGCTGGCTGAGAACTGAACCGCATTAACTATGTTATTTTATGTCCAAATTGTAACTTTTGAGAATTTTAAAAACGAGTCATCAGTGTGATACAGAATAAAGTCTCCGTATTGAAAGTGGTTACCGCAGGTTTGTAAAGCAAACCTTGCCGTACTTAATGGTCAGGACACAATTATAGAACAACAGACGAAATTCTCGAAGCTGGCTCGAAAGCGAAGCCAGTATGCCCTGCACCAATGTGCATTTAAACAGCCCTCATCAATCTCATTGGTGATTCGTAGCATCATAAGCCAAGCGTAAAAGCACGTTGGTCTGTAAGGAAGGCAAGCGCACGAAGCTTGAGTTTACCTCGATTCCCCGCACTAGAAGTGGTCCTCACGTCATTTGACGGAGTCTTAGACAACAACAATTCCGGGTCCACATTTTTTCAACCTAAAAGGTCTGTCCAGGCACAGCCTAGAACTCATGCATGCTTCATTTAACTTGCAAATTCTGGTCCCAGGTACCAAAGACCCTTATTGTGACGCAATGCAGACATTCTGAACAATTGGTGAGAGCCAATCTTAACGGATTTGTCTGGATTGTGCTAATGCTTATATGTTGTAAGCATTAAGAAAAACAATTGACTTCATACTACGACGAAGACACCGACAAAAACCTCACATTCGGCAAAGACACGTGCACGCACCATTCCTGCGCACTTTGATGCCGATTTCTTACTGGCGCAATCTCCTGTGATGGAAAATCACCATTTCATAGGTAGCCATCAAGCCAGTCAATTGACAGCTTAAATCTTCCTGTAAGAGCGAGTTTACCTTCTGATCAAAATCTACACATGCATCTACCTGCCACATGGGTACATTCTCGTAACATTCATTTTGTTTTGTTTCTGTGTAGACTGCCTTGGCTTCAATATGTCTGAATCAAATATGAATAGTTTTGACATAAATTAACATTGTAGACGAGGCGTGTACGTGCATAGACCTAGTCATTTGCCAGATAGGTTTGACTGCATGGTTTGGAGGCCACGGAACTTCATGTAAACACAATTCAACGGTGCTTCCCGACCCAGATCCTCTGAAGTGTGGATATTAAGGATGATGACACGAGATGGAGACGACGCGCTTGCTTAGTCATTTTAGAGTAAACTAGCCTATTTCGGTCCCTTCTCCAAAGTTTTCTACTTTTGTTATTTACAGCTTGTCATTCGAATATTTGCATGACACGCGGCCTGCTTCAGCCACTATCGACTCGTTTGTTGATGACGTTTTTTTGGAAATCGCAGTTCACTGATATAAAAATGCCAGTCAATCGGCTTATTTTCGTTGTCTCTGATTAACCAATCACATCACCAATAGGTGATATCGCCGCACACTGCTTGCCAACACCTATAACTTCGCGATTATCATTAATGTTAATACCTCCGATTTACTGCCACGATTGGCTCGTGAGTTAATCTCTTTCCGAGCCGGTATATAAGCAAATCGATTTGAATCTTGTCTTTCGATATTTTACCATACTTTACCATTCGAACCATATCAACAAGTCTGCTTTGCCTACGTGCATGCTTGAGTATGTTATCTTGTATTTGCTAACATTGGTCCTTCTAGTCCGAAAATAGCGCAAGAGATTCTGGTCCTCCTCGACTTCGATGGCTCCGGGACTGTTAAGACGAAAGACCTCTGCGAGGCATTTAAGGGAACAGGATTGTCGGAGTCCGAGGTCACCGAATTCATTAGCATATATGATAAGGACGAAAAGGGAAAACTGAACCTCGAAGAGCTGACCGATATGCTAGACCGTGTGAATCGAAAAACCAGTGGTGCGTCCATGCGCGAACGAAACATGTGGGAACCAGGAGCTCGCTAAGGCGCATGAGTCCTCATACATGTATTTTTACTTGCTGTTAATAAATGCAAATTTGGCATCAATTGTCTCGTCTTTTGCCCAGGCCACCCTCAATCCGAAGCAGGGGGACGATATTTGCCCCGCCGTGGTCATCTAGCTTAGTGGCCATTCGATAGCCTGTGAGGTCGGGAAACTATGGTTCACCCTCGTGCTCAGAGTCTGCTCCAATTTCTCGGAATGCACTAAATCTGATGGCGACATGTTGATCCGTGTGTGGTATTGGTTGGGCATAGGATATTAGCGCAAAATTGCAAAAAATGCCACATGTGGTTCCGTTAAAATCAACTACTGTCGAATTCTTTATAACTTGTGGCGGACTTCTGTATTTTAGATAACAATGTGTTCCATACATTGCTGGATTTCGGTATCACTTGGTATCATGAAGCATCAAACCCAGGGCTAAGAGTTATTCCATGTGTTGAAAACGAACCTTGAAACGGCCACGTACCGATTTTGCACTACGATTCCTACTCTGTTCTGCGCACATCAGGTCCTCTTTGTTAATACCTTAAATTTCGAACAATTATTGTGATTACGTGCTTGGGGATTACCTCATAATTCCAATGCGGGTTAACGTTTTCTGACAACACGGCAAATGTGCATTAAATTTGCGCAAGATCCCAAATCAGTAAGATGTGGTTTCGCTTGTTGAATTCGTCCTACAAGACCACTTCCCCTCTGACCGTGAGCAGCTTGCGAAAGGCCCCGACGGGTGGTCTAGAGCCACATCCGACTGGCCCGATTGCGCTACTCCCGTTCCCCGTAGGCTCAAGAGGACCACAGATAGCGGAGGCACAGCCTTTTACTGGATAGCTCAACCAAATTGCGTTGTTGTTGTGTCCATGTGACCAAAGCAGTTGTTGACTCATCCAGTTTGGGTGAACTAGTTACGTATGGGTGTGTGCGTGAACAGTCCTGCATGACAGGCGGGCAGGCATGAGTGATTGGGGGCGGTGTACCATCGTATGGAGCGACAGTGCTCAAGGACGTGATTCAACGAAGTTTACTTCATTTTAGAACAACGATAATCACTTGTAGCAAACATACTTCGGGATTCGTTTTAGTTGCTGATTTTAAGTGGACGGCTCCACTCTGACGCACTTTCACAGTCTTCAGGAAAACCTGATATTGGAACGTGAGCATTTTGCTATTGCAGCTGTTGTGAAAATATCTTTTGCCAATTGTGCAATTATATGTATTGTAAAACATGACATAACAAATATCTCACAGTCCCATACAATTTAACGAAAAACCTGTGAAGTACGTGTCGAGGAGCAATCGAGTGTTATGCGAAAAAGTCACACCTATAGCCCACTTCATGTTGGTTCCATGAAAATCAAATTGCTGTGATTATAAACTCGAGCAAAGCAGGAGAGTGACACCGTAAAGCCATCTCCTTCGCTCTAGTTTTCGCTATTTCCCGATTCGTCTGTAATTGTAATTACAGCCTCGTGTTCCTCTTTGGTTAATTCACTATGCATGGTCCAATAATCACATTCATTATGTATGCGTCCTCGTGTCTTTAACACCTATTGCAGGTTTTCATTATGGGCCATTTTGGAAAGCGATCAAAAGCGATAACTGCATATCCGCATACGAATAACACGTTTTTTTACAAAGGGACAATATAGCATAGTAGCTTTATGATAAAGTTGATAGTAACAAACGTCAGGTTCAGACTCGCCTTTTAGCGTTTTGCGAGTGAGTGAGACGCATAATTACCGACCTATTCAGCCAAATATCGTGGGGTTAACATGTTGGGGTTGCCACGCTTTGGTCTGTTATGTAAATTTATTATTTTTTCCCGCTATCATGTCTACTTCTGCCCGAACTGAACGCAACAGTGCTTAGATAGTCTGAGCAGGATTTCCTTTGCATAACAGGAAGGCATGTCATTAGTCCTTGAAACACACGCAACCCTTATTGCACCAAAATGATCGGCGTTTCCTCTGTTCGATTAACTGAGCCTCTACCCTGCTGATACCTAAAGCTTTCAAATTTCACTACCATGCTTTCATACAGCCGGTCCTAGACTGTGCTGTACCAATTTGAGAAAAGCCCAGTGCTATTGTCACCAATTATGGATCTGTTTTTGTGCGTGCAAAAGGGTGAGCCTGGCTGTAAGCCACGCGGCAAAACGCAGCAGCCTAGCCAGGTCTATGGGTGCAGCCACGCTCACACGTACGTCAAACGACTCAATGAAACGATCCTCCACATGTGGTAGGACAGTCTGATTCACTCCAATAAGGAAGCTATTCTTCTCTCTCTTGGCGTTAACGATTTATAACTGATAATTACTGCGTGAATTGTTTGAGGCAGTCATGTAACAAACCCTAGCGCACTGACTCCAACAACAAAAACGCTAGGTTAAATTGGACTCCATCACGACCAGACTGTGGACTGATTAATCTTGCCCCTCGTCCTCTCCATTTGACACACCATAATCAGCAATGTTAGGCCGGTAGTTGCCACCTAGTCTCCCAACAGTAACGAAACCATGCGCTATAGACTTTTGTACAGCACATGTGTCAGCCCCAAAGCACGAGGTCAAACGTCTTAATTCGACCAATGAGGCTTTGATTTTCCTCTGCTGATGAAACCACTCTCACTGTTCAGACACTTTTTCCGACTAAAAGGAGATGGGAATGTTTTAATCTGCAAACACAGCGACGCCTGCGTTCAATAAACCAATAAAGGTTTAGTCTTTTAATCGAAATCGATTCTTAAGCATGAGGCGATTAGGCCTTTTAAATAAGTCTCACAGCTTACTTCTATTATCGTTCTACGTTATGCAATATCATGCTTTGTGACTTTGAGCCAAGGTTGACATTGGAGTTTATCTAACATGGTTGGTGGTATTTCATTAATTCGCGACAGTTAAACAATCCAACATCCTCATTCATTTGGTGAATCAAATAAGCATCCCTCCAGTTTAAGTTAGCTTCGGTTCATCTTTTGTTCTCCCCCGATTAATTCTGATAGCGTGGCAACACCCCACTACCAACATCTAAGCTCTTGTTTCTCAATTATCGGGCGTCGTACTAACCACTGTAGACTCCAATCACATGTCACAATTGCGCTTCTGGAAGTGAACACTGTTGCTCAAGGCAATCATGAACTTGGACCCAACGAGCAAATTACTCCTTCTCACTTTATTTTGTTCTCCATGTTATCCAACTGGTGACACGACGGGTTGTTTTTTGATCAAGGTCATCAGTGTTTTGTCACGCACAAAAAAGTTGCTAAACTTTTCTAGACGTGTTAAGTCACGTATACTAATAGCAGCTAATCCGTTCCAAGTAGTTAATCGTTGTAAAATCAGTCTATTATAATTCACAGTAATGTGCGATTACAGCATAAATTAATGGTTAATGTAGCGAAAGTCGATCAGCCCAAAGTGCTTCAATGTTAAGATAAATCCGAAACTCGACTAAATGCATAAGAGGTTTCCTGGAATCCTAAAACAAGGGTTTACTAGTGACGTGAAAAACGAACTTGATCACGTTACATACCCTTGGCAGAAAAGCAGTAACTGGACTATTAAATAACTCTGTGACTGACTTGTCCCGAAAATACAATCGGTTAGAAGGCACGCCGCTACCTATGATCAAAACAATGGTTCCATCGTGTTCATAACCAATGTTTGGTAGGTATATTTGTATTTTCGGGAGCAATCGAGGAACCTTTCTGCAGTCTGATGGTGTGATGGTAGAGTTAAGATCTGTTTTTGCCTAAGGCTCTCCAACAGACACCATCACATTTACAATTAATGTGGGAATTACTTATCGAACCTCCGTATTACGCATTTCTCTCGGAATCTCACTGCATTGCGTGCAGGCGAGTTGAATTTGCCCTACTCCAATGCCAAATTCATTTGGTCAGTTGTCTGAATGCTGCCTCACCCTATCGGTCTGAGGCAACAGAAGTGAGCACCAACTGCTCTACACTGCTTGGGCCTCAACGCAGTCATGGAAAGTGCGTTGTGCGCGCGCGTTTGCGTGTGAATATGGTTTAAAGGCTGATGAACAGTCATTTTCATGTAAACATCAAATCGGTGTGTTCTATGTGTGCATGTCCATGGTAAATTGGGACTAATCACTTGAAAGGGGCGCTTAGTGCCTTTCAACGTCATGAAATCTATCGGAGACCTAACTCCACCGCTACCATAGTCAACGTTCTCTACGATCAAACAAAGGAGACGTCATGTGACTGCTGCTGTTGTGAGCCGCATTACCAGACGCACAACTTTGCACAAAATGCTTCACCTCAAACTGAATTAAGCGGAGTTGGGTGGAAACCTCGTGAGGCCCCACAAACAGTGTTATGTAACTCACCCCAAATCACCTCGTCCAATTGATGCTCTGCTTTCTAGATTCCTCTCGATCAGAACACTCAATAAGCCTTAGGTGTGGATTTGTAGGTTTGAATTTGACAATTTGCTCGATGCCGTTTCAGTTACATAAATTTTATGAAAAATTTCTGTGACCGATTCTCTTCTAAACTGGGAGTCGGAAATGGGAAAAAAAGGAACAAATGTCTTCTGATGTAGGTAACCTGTCATCCTCTATACGCGTGTGCTATGTCAGGCTCTTAAGAAAGTGAATTAAAAATTGCTGAATTTAACCGCGGGCATAAGCAGGTGACATTACGTGATGCAATTGTGAGATACGTGTGGAGAATTAGTGGGTGCCGTTTTCAGAAGTTCCTAACATATACTATGCTCTTCCAATGTGCTTTCATCCAAAGGATGCTTAAGGCTATGCATTCGGTTGCCACAAATGCAGGGAATTAGGAGTGGAGTTCCTTGCAGTGGTAAGAGACCATGCGCCTCCCAATTCCACCCCTCCTCGATAAACTTCAGCCAAACACCTCATCCTTGATACTGCGCCTTCTTGAATGCATGGCTGTAGTTTAGAGTTTTATGTACGCATGCACAACCACTCAGCAATAATGCTGTCGAAGGAGAAAGTGGGATGGCATCTGTAGTGACGTCTGTCGTAACAATATCCAACTCCGACTTTTAGAATCATGTATATAGGTCTTTGTACGTAGGGGATCCATTGAGCAAACTGGTGTTTCGATTTTTCTGGCAATATGAACTCGTTTAGCAAGTCAACGGACGTACACGCAGTTGTTTTGTTTCCACCATTCACTGTTGCATTCAAATTTGAAGCTAATGCTAATTAGTATTGGGTCCTTCGTGCTATAGGTGGTATTTCATAGGCTTAAGGAGTTCTGTGTCGGCAACGCAAAGTGGTATTGTCACGTAGGGAGGTATCCACCTCCCTTTCTGATTAGCACTGGCCAAGAGTTTCGAATTTTGAACTTCTGCGTATACGTTTATTTTGTTCGCCATTTAACTGCTTGTTTTTAAGTCACGACGCCCATCTTTAAGTGTTTTTGATTAAGTAAAAGCGAAGTAACTTGTATCATTTTAAACATTGCTTTATTGAGACCTTTTTTTATAATGACATCTAATATCTCTTCAAAGTTTGCTTGAAAGCAGTTTTATTCGTGCTAAACCTTTATTCTCTGCCTTTAAAAGGCTAATTCGATATTGGGCGAACGACAGTTGGTGGTAGACTGGAGTTTGTTTATTCACCATCCGAAATACTAGGTGAAATGACATTTGAACTGATTAGAAGCTTAGGCTAAGTTTGCTTGCAACAAAAGCAATGCCTAAAAGCACACGTGAGAACCATAAAAGCTCCATTTAAGCAGTGCACATGCAATTAGAGTTCACACGCTCCCACTGCTTGCTTGTTGTGGCTTGTAAAGTCGCGCCTTCGCAGACAGCCTAAACCCACACACTAACACGCTCCAATGGTAGCAACCTGCCAGACGTGCGCAAGTGCTCTAAACGATTCAATGAACTGAATAAATAGGCCCTTCTTGCACAGGTTGCCGTGAGCTCACTACAAACACCATGCCATCGTGAGTCTGGCTTTCTGCTCTTCTAGCGCTCGTCCGTTGTACTTTCTGGTGTCTTTGCTTTTCGGTTCACTTTTTCGTGCAAATACCACCTCTGATGGACTACAGCGTGTAATTCTCTTTAAATTATTTTAGCCAAGAAGACGTTAAACTGTTTCTGCAGTCAATTGACAAGGACGGGTCAGGCACCATCGACGCCAAAGAGCTCCTTGAGGCCCTCCCAGGATCCGGCATCTGCGAGAGCGACGTCAAGGCCTTCATAGCGGAACACGACACGGATAACGACGGAAAGCTCAATGCAGCCGAACTCATGGAGTTTCTCACTAGCTGTGGTCTATAAACTTGTCAAACACTTTTTTTGAGAAAAAAACTTTTTCTGCTAAATGCCTCTTCTTAAAAACACTTGTCGGGGCGAAGTTAGGTAAGCAGTCAAAATGTTGGTAATTTTAACATTGCAATCAATGTAAATTTTGGTCTCGTTTGTAAGTAATTACCTCATGTTGCCCGAAGTATATCATCTGATTAGGCCTTCAAGACCTTGTCATCACTTACTTCTACTTTGCCCAAGCCAATTATGTCTCAGCGCGAAAGGTTAAAAGTAATTTGGTGTCTTATTGTCTTTCAAGTACACTAAATAGAGGATGTTCTAGTGGGTAATGTAGGACCTTTGGCTAAAATGACGACTTCATATATGTGTGTGAGGCAACGGTGAGGAATTTCTGTAATTAAACTACAACCACTGTAGAGTGAAGTGACGAATCCCAGTGCATCAGCTCGTGTTGGCGACCCGTGGCATTGCATGAAATGTGTTGAAACGCCTTACGAGTGTTGTTCACTAGCTACGAACGAATTGCACTTAGGTTCGATATTTTGACTGCAATTCAACTCTACGTATTGATTTTTTTCCATCAACTGACTCATCGTCACCGTAATATACTTGCAATCCTTCAATCCGACCCAGCCATATGCCTTAATACAAAACAGTTCATAAAACTCACACTCGGCAAAAACGCGTGCACACAACACTCCTGTGCATTTTCATGCCGATTTCTCATTGGTGCATTCTCCTGTGATAGGACATCACTATTTCATAAGTAGCCATCAAGCCAGTCAATTGACAGCCTAAATCTTCCTGCAAAATCGAGTTTACCTTCTGACCAAAATCCACACACATGCATCAACCTACCACATGGGTACATTCTCATAACACTCACTTTGTTTTGTTCCTATGTTGCCTTCCTTGGCTTCAATATGTCTGAATCAAATATGTATAGTTTTGACATAAATTAACATCGAAGACGAGGTGGGCACGTGCATAGATTAAATCGTCTCTCGGATTAACCAATCACATCACCAACAAGTGATATCGCCACACACTACCTGCTAACACCTATAACTTCGTGATTATCACTAATATTAACACACTTGATTTAATTTGAATGTTTTAAGAATCCAAACTATTGATTTCTGTCTACCCGATGCTTTTAAATTGTTGGTGTCTCCTGAACTCTCTTCCACATAGTTAAAATGGGAGCGTGAGAAATGTATTTGTGTCGTTCTTAATCCTTACCAGAATTACTGGAGGCCATACCTTGAACCAGAACACTCTATGAATGTATACGTCTAGCAGTGTTTGTAATGAGATTATCATTGTTGTGGAAATGACCTTATGTGAAACCTTGAAAAAATTAATAAACGTGAATTGAGGTTGTTATGTTAGTGAACTCGGCGTCTTCTTTTTCTTTGAGCCTCTCACGTGATGACCAATTTACGGCTAATCTTGAACGGATTCAGATTCTGTTGTCAATTAGCCTCTCCGATGTGGTGACGCAGTAACACCTCAAGCAACACGTGGCTTGCTGGCAGAAATTGTAAAAGCTCTTTAATGCTGCTGGAAATAAGATCCTTCAGTTACGCAATAGGAAGTATTATGTCGAGCTAAACCCAGCACATTTGTGTTCCAAGCTTGATGCCACACATTCAAACTGGATTATTGTACTAGCTTGCACCAAACTTTCACATTTATGTGTTTTATAGGTCGATATTGTGCCGGTATCATCAGCGTCTTGAGTTATCTCAGTTGTTGTGATCCTTGAGGACTTTATCACAATCACTTTGTATCCCAAATAATTTTTTTTTATTCTGTGTTAATTTTGTCACCTGTCAACCCAATTTATGCCTTCTTTGTTTAAAACGTTTTAAGCAAGTGCCATTACAATCAATTTTCACTTCGCGAATCCGGAAAAGGCTCAAACAGTCAAAGTTTTATCGCACTGAACGTTTCTAAACTTGACACCTTTGCACAATAAGCAAAGGAAACGCCTTATTTGCCAATCTCACGAAACCTTTACTTATTTCGTTACTGCTATTCCAAGGTAAAAGATTTACGCTTGAGAGTAATTTATGGGACAGAGAGCTTGCTCTTGAAACACCTATAGCTGAGCTGTCGTTTCTTTTACGTAATAGGAGCAATAAATGCCGCTACTCTTTAGTTGGTACACTATTCTCTTTCCCCCCCCGCAAGCGAATTCATTCAGAAGAGTTTGTGGATTCACTCGGTTCACCTCCAGGTCACGGTGCAGGCCTTTATTGAAGATCTTAAGGCTTTAAATTTCAAAAACACCAGGTCCAATTATTCTTATGAATTATCTAGGTATTATAATGATTAATTTTTATAAAATTAAGGAGTGGAAATGAATGTTGATGGATGCGAAAATTTCAGGTAGTCTTGTTGTGTAGTAATCTCGGATCAGGTATTCTAAAACAGAATTAAAAAAAATGAAATATCAAAGTACAACGTGTTGTTTGTTGTTACAACTTGATTGCTCACACGCACAGCATCTCGAAGCAACTGCTACCTTCCATCGAAATGGCCCCAGGAAGATATTTTGATGCGCGTGAATATGAATCAGTCAAATTACCTAGCCAGGAACAAGGTTTTATGAGAAAAATCCAGGGCGAACAGGTTAGGTTTGGCAAAAAGAACTGCTAATGGCATTCTTTGTTTTGGAAAACAGGAGTATCCGCAATCAGGCCTTGTGCGTTTAAATTTAAAAACAATTATACCAAACTTCATTTTAAGCCAAAAACGTCCAAATGTAGTTATTAACAACGCGCGCACACTTAAACATTGTGCGAATTCCTTTGTAGGGAGGTCCATTGTGTGCGGTGAGTCATAACAGTTTTGGCTGCCAAGACAGCTTTGCATATGTAGGCATAGAGCAACCAGATACATACGCAAACCCCTATGACTAAGGCCAGTATTCATTCATCTAATTATTCGAAGAACGTGCACAATGGCAAAATATGAGCCCATGTAATTCATGGACGTCTTAAAAATTACACTTTTTCCGAGACTTCTGTGTAGTATTCTTTACCTCTGTGCGAAGGAAAAGGATTCGGACATTTTAATGCATCATTTTAGAGGTGCACACCAGTCATCAAATTTTGAATGTATTGCCCTAATACCTAGTCTCAAAAAATGAAACAGATTTATCATTACTGGCTTAACCAACAATCACCTCAAAACGGGTACACGAAAATGCAGCCGCATTTGCTTTTTGAGTACGATGCTTGGAACGTTTTAATAGCACCTAAATACCGTGTTTTTCGTCACATAACAAAAGTCAAACCAATTGACTGAACCCTCAGCAGACATGGAGATTGGCATGCAGAAGTGTGTGAACTGTGTGCTCCCAATAACTTAGATTTCGTCAGACATAGGCGGTATGGTGAACTCTGCCTAAACACACCTCAATCACGTTTGCAGACGTTATCCCATCACTTGCCACACAGATTAACCTCCCTCTATCATGTTTTCGAATTAACTGTTTTCGCCTTGACTCTTCCAAAAGTGATTTCCGTATCAAGGAGGACGATTTTGTCTCGAGTGCATCGCATCGCTTACTTCTAATGTTAATTGCTAAAGCACGTGTGAAATACTAACGGGTTGGTGTCAGTCGCCTAGTACTTTGCATTAGATGCTGAACAACTTGATTCACATAATTGAAGGATACGCTTGGACGCTTTTCGGCTAGAGTTTTTGTGCTAACGATTGATTGGAGTTTTCTACAAAGTAATTTGTGAATGCATTACTTTCGCATCACTTCGTTAGTCTTCACTGTGAAGAGAGTTTTAACTCAGTTGAGCTTTCACCTCGCAGAGTTACAGAAGATCTGCCAACAAGCAAGACCGAACGTTTGGCTGATTTCCTTCGAAAATCTTAATAGCACGTCATTGTGAAGCGAATAAAAAGGCAACATGCTCAAAGTTCAGTTTGTGTTAGAAGGAACCCTGGGATACATTAAATACTTTCAGGACTTTGCTTATTTCAACCAATATATGAGGTAGGGTGGAGGAATAATGATGGATGATGATAACTCGTGAAATTTATATCTTACTCTATCCTCTGTCATTGTTGCAGATAAGTGGGGTTTATTTCTTTGCAATCAGAGATTAGCTTTTTCATTCGGAAGTTTTCAATGAGTGAAACTAGACCGGACAAACGATATGACATGATCTTATCGAGTTACTGCATTGTCTGATGGTGATTGATTTTTATCCCCCCAAACTCCTCTTTTCTACACTACTGGCTGACGGGTGTAACCAGAGCAAACAACCCAGTCTAGAACTCAGGTAAATGTGGGGGTGTATTATTCGACCTCATTGCATACTCAGCTTCCAAGTCCTGATACTTTAAATTTCTTCAGAGAGAACATTGGTACAATCTTGCAAGGCCCTTGCTTTTCAATCTAACTGAAAAGGACAAAGTAATACCTCCTTTGAAATAAACATTGAGAGTAAATCCGATGGATTGTGCGTTTGGCAGCTTTGGCAATCAGTAATCCAGGAGAAATACCATGGTAACACAGAAAACAGTTTATCGGAACTTTGAGAAGATTAAGAAAAAACGCTAACAAAAGGTTACATGGATTAAAAGTGAAAAAAGTTTCGTGGGTGGAGAGCATTTAAATAAAAAAAATTAACAGGGATTGACAGTTGCCAAATTTAAATGGGTCGACTTTCTTATTTTCCATGTTTTACATACAATAAAATTCAGGTCACTTTGTGTTCACTTCACACCTAAGATACCTAATCAAACATCGATTTGTGTAAATTATTGATCCTTGCGTCTTCGATTGAGAAAATCGATGCATAGCTTGGCCCGGTGCTTAATGGAAAAACAAAACGTGGGAGCGAGGTGGATCGATGACTACTAAATCTCACGCACATCGAAAATCGGGTACTCTTGGTGACCTGTCCAGAACAAAATATTTGGCAGGTAATTTGTTTTGAAATGGCCCATTCGGTATTGCAATAACCAAGAGCAAAGTATAATGTTGGTGTACAGATCATGGCGGCTGATATTTAGACAAAACAAGTATTTTCTGCCAAAGACGGTTTTTTTGGAAATAATTAGTTGATACAATGATAATGACGCTGCTTCATATTTTCGTGGTTGCCTCCCCATTAAGAGACAGTAACTTTTGGGGTAAAAACGTAGATAAAGAAAACCGTACATAAATAGTCGCAAAATTAAGAGCTGTTCTTTTTAAAACGAACGAAAATGAGATTTGGTTAATCTCAAAGTCGCACCATATTCGTTAACTCGGTTATGTCGTTTGAGATGCTGCTTTAATACCTACGCACGCACGCCAGAGGCCCAGGCGTTAGTCATGCCTTCACTGCACGCCCACGTAGGCGAGCTCACGCGTGCGCGCAGGCTTGACAATGCTGTGGTAGCATTGACGGCATGCGCACTGGTCTTTGTTCGACGGGCACGACGCCGATGCGTTGTGGGAAAAATGGCCGGGTGCCCGTATTCGTGACGTAGGGTTGTCTTGCGTTTACATCTCTGGTGGTAGTACAGTCGACGAAAACAGCGTGGGGCTTACTAGCATGCCCTACAGTTGTTTAAGAGAGAACCGTGTTGACACAAATGACCGGAGCATGTGACATGGACATGTGCTAGCACTTTTTACAAAACAAAACATGGTGTCATACTAGTATGCCTTTTAGATTAAAGTGATTTGAAAATCTGGAAACTGAATTATTACAAATCCTGGTGAACATCTGTGTTGGGACCAGTTCTCGACTCACTAAAATTTCTGCACATAATGGCCATTGCAGTCACCCTAAAAATTAATAAGTTGAATTTTCTGAAGTGATTTGGGCCAGTAATGACGCGGTATTCTCGAAACTCAGACTATATATTCACACCTGAAGCCCATCACTTACTAACACTTAGCATTAAATTCAGAATAAATCGAGCACCAAGTCAACGAGACCGAACGGACTTGGCATGGCGAGTGCTACCTAACGCACAAAAACACCACAGCCCCTTTCCCATCCCACCAAACTCAGAATTCACATTTGTGGGGCGTTAGAAGCGGCCACCTTGAGGTCAAAAGCGACGGCCCTCCTCGCCCTCACATTACTTGGAATCCATCCTCCCAGACACACAAACCGAACCCGTCGGCGAAACGAATCAACCCGCCGACCAAACCTCCCAACCCCGACTTAGACGCTGCCCATTGTACTCGCGCACCCGCCCAGGGGGGATTCAAGACCGCCGGCACAGCCCACAACGGAGCCCGCTCCAGACGCCGAACTACCCCGACCGCGTCGGCACAACGCCCCGGTGATACAGCCCACTCGCCCGTGAAACCGCGCACCACCCAAAGCCAGCAGCGCGCCCCGGAGGAGCCCCAGCGTAAAACCTTCAAGAACCCCCGCCGAAACCCACCACGGGTTCCTGCGCGAACCCCCCAAGCGCAAACCCAAACCGTCGAGTCAACGAATCGCGGAACGTGTCAAAAACGGATGTATTTGATAAAGCTCTCGCGCCTCGCTTTTACATGGTTAGAGGGTAGACAGGAAAGCGGTGGCTCCCACGAAATCGACGTTGCCATCGGCATCGCGGTGCTTGTTCACGTACTCGTCGACGGCGGCCTCGGCGACACCAAGAGTACTGGCGGAGGCGACCAGGTCTTCACCCTTAATCTTGCCATCGACGGCCTTGTCCTTCAGAGCGGTTTCAATCTCTGCGTGGCTGGGCATTTTCAAACGTAGGAGACGGCGAAGGAATGAGGAGTGGAGAGAGCGGCCGGTCTTATATAGAAATTTGTTCCACCGGGCCGAGCCGTTGTGGTGTAGGGCTATTGGAGCTTGCTCAAGGTCGTGCATGTGTCTGTCCTCGAAAACCCGGGCTGTTACTGGAGTTCGTGTACCAATCGGGACGAGGCTCAATACTATTGGTTACAAGTTTTACCACGCAAATGATTGGTGGGGTATCAAGTCCGGGAACGGCGTCAATGTGGGGGCAAGCGCCGCCACTCTTTTCTGTTGTTTACCGCCAACTTCATCATGAAAGCTAGGTGGTCGTTCGATTTGTGGCTAGCGCTATTTTAGAGACTAAATTTTACGCATAGTGGATGCGTTGCTAATGTGTAATGCTTGGTACTGTGGGGTGATGTGGTCGGCGGTGGTTGTGGTTTTAATCGTCTTACCAGATATCACTGCCACGTTCTATCCGACGTGCCCGTGTGCATCCGCTCACCTCAAGCTTCTTTCTAAGAGTGAACACAATCATTTGAACTTATTCGGGTGCCATCACATCACAAGGTTGCTTCATGATAACAACGTCTTGCTGTAGATGTGTGGGGTTGACCTGGTAAAAATTGTAGTAGGGTACGTGTTAGTAAAGGCTCCACCGCCGTGAATCGTGTTACAAGTTCATAGTTGAAAGGGTGCGTAAGCTTCACAGTCAGATTGTCTTGATGGGGGTGATAATCGGGGTAACGGCGTGGCGTATACTTTCTAACTAGCAAGTAAAGAATTATTCGAACCCGATGTGATTGAGATGAAGGTTTAGCGGAAGTGGGCAAAAGAACTCAAGGTCCCCTGCTAGTCTTTCTTTAACGAGTAACAGCACGCGAATCAACTTCTTATAATGACTGTGAAGCCGAGATTACCGTTCGTATCCTCCGCAGCATTTTTGACTTGCGTGAGCGCTTGATTATAAAGTGTACACTTAACCTGAGCCATCATCTGTGCTTTGGGATGCGTTGAATTTATTAGTAACACTGAATAAAACGTGTTCTAAATCGAGACAAAACGTAATTTAATCACAGACGCACTCTGCCGTTGTTTAATGTTTCTTCACAGTCGTCCATGACATTTCAATTGCTCTGTAAAGAAAATAATAGTTTTCGACCTAAAAATTGTCCGTGTTTCGATTTTGTCAGTATTGAAAGAAACCTTGCGTAAGTTGCTTGATAGTGATCGCAAAAGACGACTACCGACAGAGCCAAGTCTGGATGATTGGAGGGCGCAACACGAATTTCCTACTTGAAGGGTTGGACTGTAGCCGTTAGAAATTAGAGGCGAGCAATATCGACGCTATTACGTCAACACCTTTGACGAATACAGAGATATGCCTTGTTTCGCTATTCTCAATCCCACCATACGCGCAACACAAACGAACTCAGTGCTACAATTGCCGATTCCTTTAACCAACACTTTTAATCCCTAAATAATTTTTTAACCATAATTAACCTTCTACTACTTTTAAATTAATAGGTGTACAGTGCGGTTGAGTCGGGAGTCCTGCACAAGCAACAGGACGAATTTTCGTAAAGGCCCGTTTAAGGCAATAATCCTGTTTAAAGGGTGCCGAGCCCCGCGGCCCACGTTACTAGGTTTGTTCGTTTTACAGACTTGTCAGCCATGACCCCTCTGCGCGTTGGTGTACCCCCCCCTTCTGGCACGGCGCTCACGTGCTGACTTGAGATGTGCTTCGATGCGGGCTAGTAGTGTTGCGAGTAATTGCCGAAAAGCGGTGTTCTGGGGCGTGGAAAAGATGCTCTGACTTAAACTTTTCCTCACACTTCACTCTGGTACCATTATTACTCATGACAAAAAATAATACAACTAGATGGATTGCTAACAAACACAGAGAGAGCTTAATTTGAGTTGTCTACGTCTGCGACATCAGGAAAAAGATGTTATTAAGAACATTATGTCAACGAGTAGTTACAAATCGCACGGTAATTTGTCGAGTTTTTCTGAACTGACGCCATTAATTCCATGTACTATGTCTTATGAGTGACAATTTTTTAACTCAGAGACTTTAAGTTCGAGCAAATGTAAATTCAAGACCACGAAAATCTACTAGGTTTGCAAAGGGAAACTAAATAATAGCGTTCTTTTGTACGTGTACATTTAAGAAGAAGATCCCTTGCTATCGTTCCTTAACTAAATCCATCCACACTTACGAAATTACAAGCAAGTCGAAGAGAAGGTACTGGGGTTGTAAGAGAGAAAAGAGACAAAAATACTTAGAAATTTGTGAACGGTGTTCCTTGCTGGTGACACCCATTATTGCTGGGGAACTGCGCCGAGTGCCTACACTTCACTTTAGGCATCATGAGCGGCTTTAAAAAATAATACCCTTTCAATGCCTTTTGTTGTACCTTTGGACATCGATTAGAAACTACATGTCCGATCATGGGGAACAAAGTGAAAGAGTGTGCTTAAACATTAAGAACCACATAAACGATGTGGAGGCGGTCTGATCTAATTGAGTGTTTATATTTAGAAAATTTAATACAATGAAAATCTGACTAAAGTTTGTGCTCTGATGGAATCTGCCATAGTGTGGAGCAACAGAAGAACTAGAATACGGACCTTCATGCAGACAGATTAGACTGAGGTTTATTTGCGTATTTAAACCAGTGATGAATGATAATCTTCGTTTACCAGCAGAACCGGTATATGGAAATCTCGAAGAAAAACGTATTTGTTAGATTAATTAATCATTAGCGATAACCGTAAAACCTAAAGTGTCTGCACCTGATACGTCAGGTTTGCAAGCTCGGAAATAAGTCGATGTGTCTGACGTCCAACGCTGATTGATGGCTGATGCATTCCCTCGGCTGTTAGAAGAATGAAGTTGCGACGTGGATTTCCTGGGTGGTAACATGAAATAGCGCACACACACACACACATTAGGTTAATACACCAATACTTTTTGATAGAGGATCCCAAATGACTTCCTGATCAGGAACAAGCCATGTTTTATCACCAGATTTGTCGGTTCTTCTGAAGAAAACCATGGGGTCACCGGCAAGAATCAACTTAACCCATATCCAGATAATTATCTTTTTCCCCTGTAATAAGGACAAAGCCTACTGGCCGATTTTTCTCACTGTCATTGAAATCCTAAAGGCAGATGTCAAAATGTGAAAAACGGACTTACCTTCCGATGTCTGATAGTCTTTACAATAAACAACACAAAGTGCCGATCACATCAGGAAATTGTCATGATAGTAGCAGTTGTTTGTCTTTTCACAAGGTCGAAAGAAAAGACGCGATCTGGCAGAGCATCACAACGATGCCACATTAACTCAGTCACTTGCAATTCTCAATTTAAAGTAATTTAAGTAAATTGTTTCGTTAGGTTAAAATTTATGCTTTGATTCAACGAGCACTTTAAATGACTGCATGTGCAAAAACTTTGACTTCGTTTATGTGAATGAAAATAAATGGAGAATTAGTACAACAAAAATGAACAAGTTTTTGTGTATGCCGCGTTTTGGCACGAATGACAGTAAAGTGTGGCATGACAGTTGTATTTTATCCGGAGAAACGAGGTTATGCCAAGCGGATACGCACCAGCGATTCCTAGCTCGAAAACTCAAAGGTAAGTGCAGTGAAGCATGGGGGCTCAAGTGAGGGTGTGCGAGTTATTCGAACTGCCGGCCCAACATGAAGTGCACCTCCATGCCAACGTGCATACCTGCATCCATTGATTTGGTTTACTCCTGACAGCCAAACGCACCAATGTCCGAACATATTTTAGGGTGTTTAAGCATTTGTCCATCAAAAAGCTAAATCACCATCCTAGGTAGATGCAGCATGACAGGCAAAAGGTTCTGGTTGAAACAGATTCAATTACTTAATGTAAGCGGTTGAGAACGACACCGAGGAGACGTTCTGGTGTAGTCGCTCGTTAGCACTACCAGTTGCTTTTTTCTTTTCCACGTTAACGCAGCGAAGAAGTGAACATCTAGACATGGTCCAAGACTTCACGAAATGCCGCGTCTGTCGTCGCCTCACGTCCTTTAAGGCATCTCGCCGGGGAAATCCCCATCCCGACACCTTGTCCCATTATCCACTAGCAATTTAGTCGCCTTTAACAATGTAGAATACGACAACAATCCTGAGCCATAGCTGAGAACCGAAACGTGGGATTAGGATTCGTTGTCAGCGCCCTGCGTCTAACATTCCATGATTGCTAAAAGACAGCAAATCTTATTCGTGGTTGATAATGGCAGGAAACCATGGATATGAAGGTGAAAGTGAGAAGCAAACGTTTAGTAGATCGCTAGACGAGTTTTACGTGGATCTGAAGGCCTAGAAAGGAGCAAAAGGTTGGAGCAAGAGGATGGCGGATGAGGGGGCATGAGAACGGTGCGAGAATGAAGCGAAACCGATTATTGCCCCCCTGATAGCCTCCTCCTTGTAGGCGCGAACGCACGATCTCCCCGCGGGTCACGGGCCGCTGCCCCGACTTGGACGGGTGGTCTGCATAGGGCAAGGGAAGGCTCGCGTCGGCCACTGGTGCCTTGATGTTTCGGCAAAAATAGCGAGTTCTGCTAAATAGCCAAGTTGAATTTAAAGGCTGCCAAAGAACCGAAACTAGGGTGGAAATTAGTGGTGAGTTGAAGACGACGACGACGACCAGCCTCGGCATAGACGACAACTAGTGATTAAGCACCATATTTACTGCAAGCAACGCAAGCTGATTGCCATCTTTTTGCTCCACCCAAGAGAACTTCGAGATGACGATAAGGCCTCTTGAATTCTTTGCACGATTAAAACGCAATATACTACAAAGCCCAATGAAACCTCCCGATTATAATGATCGCAAAATTTATCCAGGCTGGACCGATTCTAGAACATTTGAAATAAATTTTGCGTCCAAAACAAATTATTTGTGACCATTAGCCATGTGTAACGGATACCACGGTTAATGTAGGAACATGGCTATCAGAGGCAAATAATAAACTCTACTGATATATGTTTAAGTACAATCCCAGTCTTCACAATAGGCCGGATTTGCTTGGAGCACACGAATTTCCTATTAGTTAATAAATCAACCAACGGTGAAAATACTTGCCTAATAATACTTTATTAGCCAAAAAGCGATTTTAATAATAACTACAACCAGATTTGCATCATGTAATTGACCTAGTCCTAGATTCCCAAGGGGAACAGATGTTACTCATGCAAAACAGACTATAGAATTGTTCCACTTAATGCAGAGATTGCTCCATACAACCCAACACGGAACCAAAATACTAGGTTTTGCTCCCTTAAAAAAACCAGAACTCTCCACAGAGATCAAGAAAGGCATTCGGTGGAACAAATCAAAATTGTTCGCGAAAACGTCAAAATGGTGGGGTTATGCAATAACTCCAAATGTAAACAGGTCTGCAGACGGATAACCAGATGCGGTCAGGGAGTTCTCCGGGTGAATACACAGACCCCTGTTATTCAGCAGGGCCTACAAGTGACTGATTTCACCGACTCCCTTCTCTTTCTTTCGCCAAGCTCTTCTATGAGTTGGAATTTTCAGCTTGAATACCACAAAGTCTAGCATAGACGAACTTTTTGAGTGTGAGTCTACAGATGGAACTTCGCAATTCAGACATCCTGCGTCAAACCACAACCCTACCCCTTTCTGGCCGAAAACCTCGACCGTCTACACAAACTGCCTAAACCGTTACTTATTTTTCCGAACTAGTGGTGACGACCCCGTCTAGAAGCCAAGACGGAAAAGAGGCGAAAGGGAAGACAGATGCACCCATTTATTCAGCAACCATAAGCCATTGCGAGGTAAAAAGCTGCATTCACATAGAAATCTTGAGGGTGGAAATGAGTCCAATAAAGTAGAGCACGACGTTGGTTGGCCGTCGCTAATGCACAAGCACACTTTCCTACAAATAGGTTAATCGAAGTCGCAGGCCCACCGGTGCTCACCATGAGCACATTACCAGTCTCATCTGCAGAAGAGCAACCGCACTGATGAGTCAACAGGCGACCTGAAGGTGAAATTATCCGGCGTGTGCCTCACCCCCAGCACTGATCCATGAAAGGAAAAAGGCTAGAAACCTTAAGGGAGCCACAATTTACTAGAAGGAGCAATAAAGAAAGCTCGTCCACATCAGGGCAGAAAATTACCTTTAAAGACCATTCAAATTACCTCAACGAATCACCCAGCGGCACTTAGCAAACAGTGGTACTGCCTTCAGATCAGAACAAAGCAGTCTGCAAGAATACGTGACCAAACTGAGCAGCTCAAATCCCCCGAAAATTTCACCGCCGCAGTAAGATATAAAATAATGAGGGAATTACGGATCGTAGAAATCACAACCCACAGTGATATGGAGGGACTAAAAGCCGCAATCGCGAAATAGACCCAATATGCACGAAATAGCTGCGGCTAACCTCAAAGAAACGGTACATCCACACCCACCAATATTTGATAGATATTCTACCAAAGCGTTTATTAAAAACCTGTGCAATTTAGTAGCCGTATTTTTTCAGAATTGCCTTATAAGGAGCAATCGCTTCTCGGGCCTTGCCACGAGCAACTTGGTCAGGAACGGCGGCAACCTTCTTCTTTTTAAACCACACAGCGGCCTTTGCTTTCCTGCGGGCTTCCATTTTGCTGATGACATTTTCGTATTTCCATCCCACCTCAGTCGAAAGACGGGAAAGTGTACAGAACTAAAATCAAAGATATATAATGGATATTAAATATAACCACCTTTCGGCGCTGCTTTAAACGAAGAACGCGAAGGGCAGAAGGGACCACAACACGCTTCTTTTTATCATAGGGAGGAGGAATTCCTTCGAAGCATTTCAGTTTGCGATGAGCCTCCTTTCCACGGTACAACTTGTGGGGTAGCATTCCCCTAACAGTACGCCAGAATATTTTAGCTGGGGCACGGTAGTGATAAGGTCCATGTGAGGGGTTTGTATTCATTCTTTTGCGAAGAAATGCAAGATATTTGACTAAATACTTAAGCGGAGAGATTTCTTGATCTTACGCTTATTCCGGTAAAGAGATCCAGAAATGTTGATTTCCTCACATCTCACAACAACGACCTTCTGGCCCATAAGAAGTGTCTTAGCAACTATTGATGCCAGACGCCCAAGAAGATGTCCACGCGCGTCTATAATAATGGACTAACAGAAAATAACCATTAAGGAAAAAGTGTAAAAACTACCTTTCTTTGGAAAAGCATGTCAACGCGACCAGTGGTAAAGAACCGCCGAAGTGACCTATGTCAAGTAAAACAAACGAGGTACATTTACAGGGAAATGCAAATACTTTTACATTTTGACGCATTTTAATTATGTTAATAATTCAAAAAAATTGCTTACAAAAAATGCAAATTTTACTCGCGTTTCTACACTTTCATGTCTTACGAAATGAAATGAATTGTGGCTTAGATGTTTTGATACACCATAAAAATACATACACAATGGTTAAAGCAGGAATTTTAAAAAAAAAAACACTTTTTTAATCTTCGAAGGTAATTTAAAAGTTTGCTTTCTGACTATTATTTTTATTTTTTGAAAAATGTATTTAATTTTTAAATTGCAATCCAGTTCTAGTTTCACGTTCCGTCGATTAAAGCTTCAAATTTTTTAAGGAATGCAGCTTGGTCATTAGCCAATACATATCAGTTATTTGCAAAAAAATCGCGCACACTTTTATAAATTGTTTTGCTGCATCGTACATAAGTTTAGGAAGATTACAAAGAAGAAAATACAATGATGTCAGCATTAGCATACCCAAAATTGTTAATTTTAAATTTGAACAAACAGGTAATCTAGGCTTTGCACAAAATTGGCTTTAGCGATCTGGTAAGAACCGTGTATTTGTATAATGTGAAACAGACAAATAACTATTACTTACTACAGAGCTCCTTTTTTTCAAATGCAATGGCTATTTACACGAAATAAAAAAAATATGCCAGGCGTAGTATACCAATATGTCTTCGTAAACAGAACTCAAAGGCCTGTATAAACGTGATGGCATAAGAGCAAATATGGGGGCTTTGTTATTTAAATATTGCATAAAAATGAAATGGGCATTTCGCACGATATCAGGATAAATGAATAGCGCTCAGCAGCAGGCTGAGTAGAACTTATGGGTAATTTGGTTTAGACGGCGATAACCAGACTGTTCAAGCTTAAATAGCACTTGAATGACCAAAGTATTTGCAATTGTCTTCATAACAGATTTGAAATTTTGTGAGATATGCAGCCAAATATTGGTTCAATAATAGGATTTTTTTTAGCCATAACAAATAATTTAAGCTTTTCTTAATTTGCTTCGCCATACTAGATAAAACAACTATTTGAGAGCTGACTGACTTCGAATTTCATTTCCGATTGCCAATCTTTCATCGTTTCTAAAATTAACACCAACCAAAGAGACTTTGAGGCATTTAAGATTATAAAAATGTCAACTGAAACAAAATGGAAAGGAACAAGCTAGGATTTATCCTCGTAATCAAAATGTCGCAGAGTTAGCCAGGCTAGAGTTACACAGTGGAAAACCGGATTAGAGGAAAACATTTTTAATCATCGTCAGTGCCAAATGTTAATTACTCAGCGTGAAATCTTCAAATGCAAGTTCGAACAATGCAGACACTTAATTTTGCAATCAAAGTTTAGCATGTACGGGTATTTTGATGATTTCGATGAAGCCTTTTGAGGGCTATTGTATAACGTTGTCTATTTGCTTCTAATTGCTATCTGTTTCTGATTGTTGATACACATTAACGCAATGTAAATTTGGCATAGGGTCACAGGGAGTTTTAATAAAAGCAATTATAGACTAAAATAACCAGGTTTTATATCTGGTAAAAAATAACATTATATAATTGACGTGCCAAGTGCATCCTTCACATTCACTTAATTGCAATGCTGCATTTTTAAGCAACACTATTGCACATGCTTTTTTTGAAGCCGCTTCTAAAATTTTTAAATAAATGGTTAGGCTTTTGGAATTATTGGAATTTCAGGAATAAAAAATTTCAGGCATAAAAGGAAGAATTTGAAGGGAAGTTCATTTATGTTTCTAAATGTATAACGAATAAGAAAAGTACAATAGAATTTGTGGTATACATGTAGGACCCTTCAAGCGAAAATATCTACATTTGTTGCCATTAACGAGTGCATAAGATATGATTGATAATATTTCTAAAGATGAAATTTGCATGGAGTAGCCGAGAACAGTCATGATGTTTCCAGGAAGCGATTCATGCAACATATTCTTGTGAAATGCAGGGGCAGGTTTTAGTCAATTATTAACCGACAAAGACGCTTTTGTCGCATTCCAAAAGAAAATCTAATTTACTCCAAACTTGGTATTGGTACCATAAGGTAAAAATGAACAAGTTTTTTTTAGATTTTTAACTGCGAAATAGGAAGATCAAGCAACTTACGTAAATATTCCAAAAAAATTATTGACGTGTACACGGGTTAAAGGGCCATCTCACACAACATTTGATCTTGCTTATCCGTTTATCTTGGAAGATTAGTCATCATAAAATTTAGCTACGAAAATCAAAGAAACCCGAAACATTAGTTCCTTGGTTTAAAAGTGCCACCACTAAAATCCCATTCAGTCTCGCACGGATTTTGTTATAGTTTTAAGATTAGAAGTAGTAATTTAGTTTCTTAATATTTTCATCTTCAAGATGCTTTTCAATTATCTCGGATGCTGAATGCTAGGCTAGTTAAGTGCAAGTAAAGTTTAATAATTTGTAAAAAGTTGATGCAAAATAGTCTAAAAATTAATTAACGCGTACCTTAATTGTTGCTAAATTTTCCCTAATTCCGTTAAACGATTTTCCTACTGAACCATTTTTAACATTCACCAGTTATTGCAGCTATTAATTTACAAATTTTAATTTTCTAATTTTAATTGAATACATATATTACCGGATTGCAAATATAGCAATACACTCGTTTCAAAGTAAATGCTTGCATATATCCTGATTTTAACAATATGGGTTACATTTCGCAATTGTATTTAAACTTTTTGGTTATTTAAACAGTAACAGTCACATAGCCGAATTCGCCACTATTTTTTATCAGCAGTGATGCGGTTATATCTTTGCCTTTATAACCCACTTGTGCACTTAGGATCTTCGCTCTTGGACGTTGCCTTATTCCCATTTTTTGTAACATTACGATTAGTAACTGGATTGCTAAGCAAATATTCAGGTTTCTTTAACATATATTTCCTTGTTTAGCTCTCCTTTTTGTTAATATTTGGGTTTGGCAAGCCAATATTTTCGGGATATACTCATATTCTTAAGAAACAAATCTGTTCCTGCAAGTTTATTGTGTCCGGTAATGGTTGCTTGGGATGACACCATGCGTGTTTGCATTTTGAGGAATTGGACTTTAAAACTTTCATTGGTGGCCTTTTGGCTTATGAAAAAGATATGTTTTTGTGCATAAGCTATGGTGTTTTCGATTTCAGCTTTCATAAAGGATATGTGCTTGTGCTGCTTAAGGATTTTGTCCTCTTTTATATCTAGTAGGATTTGATGTTAGCAATTTTTGAAAATGATTGTTATTGACATGATCAAACTAAACAATACCCTTTGACCAATCTGTGGCCCTGTACCTCTTTCGCCCCTAGCTTGGGTATGATATGAACATTTTATTTCCACACAATTGTTCTATGTAACATTTACGCTAGTTTAAGCCCAAAGTAGATAGTGTGCTTTGTTGTTTTCATGGTGACCGTTTTACTCGTCTTAACTTGAACTGGCAGAAATCCCTGTCCTGAGAATAATATTATTTTAATTCATCTCAACGTCTGTGTCCTGGGTAAAATTACTGTCCGATGAACCAGTATCACTTTTTTTCGCATCTTGGTAAAGTATTATGGTCTCTAATGAACACATTCCTCCAAAACGTTGAAATGAAGTCTTCATTCTACTGTTGCAAACCGCTAATCTCCATTTGTTAACGATTCTCTATGTAGGCAAAAGGCACCGAATTTGTAATGTAACTGTGGTTAGGTGAATAACCGTTATTGATATTTTTACAAACGTATAATCATGATAACCCGATCGATGTTCGAAGGTCCTATTTTTGTTTTTACATTTAGTACGGTGATGTCCACTACCTTGTATGGCTGGGGATCTTGCGTTGAGGGTCAATTAGGCCCAATTTCATCGGACGACTCTGTTACACAGGTCTTTCAACCTTCTGTCGTTGACTGGCCTCCTACTGGGGTTGGTAAGAAGGTGATTAAAATGGCCTGCGGTTATCAGCACACATTGGCGCTGGATGCAGACGGTCTCGTCTATAGTTGTGGCTCCAACGAATTTGGCCAGTTGGGCCACCTCAAAAGCCCTGGAAAATTCTGCAGGGTGAGTTATTAGTCTATTTTTATGCAAACTTTTCGCAGAAAATGCCTTTTTATGTGTAAGTGTATACACTTGAAACAGAATTCACGTTCGACAGAACGACAAAACCAAGCTCATCGAATAATAATTTGGAACTTAGCCGTAGTTTATTAATTTTCTCAGTCTCATGCTTGACTTTTGATAGCGTAAACAGTTCAAACAATTTTGCCTTTGCAGAATCAAAGGTGGTTAATAATTTAGCCACATTAACTTTCATTAGCACTAATCGATTATTATCATTTTAGCCCAAGATACTGTAAATTTTGAAATTTCCACTAAAACCCTTGCTATAAACTGTATTATGGTCGTATGAATACCCCATAGTGGTGGATCTGAGTGCCTTAGGTAGTCTTTACAATCCCCATATATATTCGTAAAATTTGAAAACATATGGTGCATTCTTTGAATCCTTTTTTCGCTATAATTCTTCCGTTATGAAATCGTCCGCTGCTATGATAAGTCGTGACTAGTTCGACTGGTTCACGTTTTTATTTATCATTTTATAAACGTTTTGATCAAATTTTCACATTGCACAAGTCCCCAAATAGATTGAATCCCACCGAAACCATAGTTCTTTCAAGGGAGACTAGGTATGGATGAGAAAGAAAGTAGCCCCACCTTGACACTTAGCCATGTTGTGCCACCTTATTTGTGAATCGATTAGAACGATCATGTGGTAGCAAGGTTGAAGGCCAGAACTCTAAAGTAAATCAGAAGTGCTTTTTATGTAACCTTCGCACACCATTCACTTAACACGCGCTTGGATGCGCACCTTTGGGACCGATCGATGGGCCTCCGATTAGGTACCTCCTTCTACACACGATTACATACATGATGGAATAAAATTTGACGTGGAGATTGTCCGCGGCTACCACCTCGTTGTCACGGTTAACACCATGCCTGGAAGAGCTTGATTATTTTACCTAGGCAGTACCATTAATTCCCACGACTCCTGGCCCCTCGAAAACCTGCGGTTTGTTTGACCAAGCCTCATTGCGTAAGCTCTTCTTCTCGAACCGCAGACATCCCGAATGCCAGACATCTCAAATACTGCTAAACATTTTAAATATTTTCTTAATGAGAACAGGTTAAATCATCATGTGTTCATTGGGAAACTAATTTAGTTGCTTTTTAGTGGGCATTCATGGCGTTTCATAGGTTAGTTTCTTTCCAGACTAAACTGTAAGAGCTGCATTTTGTGTTCTTAGCGCTATGTATGGAAAACAAATACGTAAAAATCATACCGCAGGACTCAGTAACTGCTCTTCGAGGTTCGCTCCTGCTAGTAAGTATGCTTAATAAGCCTCAATTTCTCATCAAGATATTTAGAAGACTGGTATAAGGTGGGCACCGTGTACCTCAGCAGCATGATCGTCACAGTTTCATTGATTGTCTCAAGGCTCGGATTGTGATTTGAGCTCGTTTATCTTTAATTAGTATTGCCTCACAAGGATTGTTTTTACTTAAAAAAAGCACTGCCGTCTAATGTGACAGAAAGTAGATGGTTGTTGCGCTTTCCTAAATACTGTTGATCGCCTCCAAATATTTTCGACTTCGTTTAACTTCGTTTAGATTATCTTTACGCTGCCAACAATTAGACTGGTAAACTGCGTAAGTGCACCGTATTACTGACCTCCTCTGTCGCCTGTTAAACGGTACAGGGAGCTACCGTTGAATGCGGTGCAGTGAAATCCTTTGCTTAAGTTTTGCCCCTGTTGAAATTTGTCTCCTAGGTTCCTCGTGGAAAATTTTCTGGTGACTTGTGTGGAGTTGCACAAGGTTTTCTATGACGTAATATTACTGCTTTCTACAAATACTCATTGTAGGTTTCAGGCATCCAAGAGCAGGCTAGAGATATTGCCGCGGGAGCCTATCACAGTGCAGCCATTACGACGTCGGGCCGTGTCTACATGTGGGGCTGCAACACGAATCATCAGTTGGGTCGCGACAATGTCGACGAAACTGGCGTTTTGTTGCTCGATTTCAACCACGGGCCAATCGTTCAGGTGCGTCGAGTTTGCACTTATGGTATTTATCATTATCTCGCAGATATGATCAATTTTTTTGGATATGACTTGTTTCATTTTTGCGACAACTTCTGAACTTGCAAAGAGGGTAGGAGATGTAATGCGTGTGCAACGAGCTCGGCAAGTCTTTGTGTGCACTGGGAATGCTTCTAATCGTTCCACCTAACAATCTCGGTTGCCTTTAACACAATTCGTATAGTCGATACTTTGCGCCTAAGTGCCCACTTGTAACACCCAACTTCTTACCGATAGTCAAAGCATAATTTTGCTCAGCTGTGCACTCTCTAGTCAGAATTTGCGGATCACGTGGTATAATGGGACCAATGAGTGTTTTACATTTTCGTCGAATTAAATCTCGTTTTGCCCTATTCGTTTAAGCGTTTCTATTTTGTAGATAAGTCTTGGCCTTGAGCACACAATTGCGCTGACAGAATCATCGGAGATATTCGCGTGGGGTTCAAACTCTCATGGTCAACTGGGCCTAGGTTATTGTTCGCAAAAACCGATGGCTACACCTCAAATCATAGAATGTCTATCCGGTCTGCCTGTGCGTCAGCTGGCTGCCGGAGCTAACCACAACATTATCGTCACCCCTAGTGGGTCCGTCTACACTTGGGGCTCTAACTCGCGAGGTCAGTTGGGCCTGGGAGTGAAGGCGACGGGGACACACGAAAAGTGTGGGGAGAATTCTTCTTATTGTCAAACGGACGAGCCAACTCCCCAACTAATGAAGAGCATGAAGCGGCAGGGTGTGACATTTGCTGCCTGTGGCGAGGACCATTCTGCTCTTTTGACGAAAGATGGGGGCGTCTTTACATTTGGTGGGGGAAGGTAAGGCCAGGGCCGTTTTCTCTCTTCTCACATCGGTGGCAAATACTCAGATGGCCGTGAAATTTTTGCCTAACTTATCTATTTACTTGTCGCCTGCGTTGAGCCGTTAAGCAGCTTACTCGAGCAATTACACACCTTGCTTCATATTGGGGCACTCGGGTGGATCTAGCTGTTTTCAGCACACCAAAGTATTATTTTCCCATTCAATTATACTGTTAACGCCAAGATGTTAGGTTGATTGTAGAACTGTGTATTACTTTGTGGTATAAAAGAGCATGTGAAGACATTCGAGAAGCGCCTAAATAAGTAAACGACGACTTGGCAGTTAAAATAGCCGCTCTTTCTGAGTTGCTGTCTTGACACTTTTTTAATCCCATATGAGAAATGGTAAATCTATTGTTAGATTTCACAATCTAATGCTAACAAGACTTGATTTCTTGGTTGCCCTTAAGTCTGCTTTATCTGAAACTCGTCTATAACTTGGATCAAATCCTTTAAAGAGTTGAGGTTAGATTAGAAGCCGCGCTGCAATTCTCAAGTTGAGGTTCCGAAATTATGTGGTAGTACTGTTTAGAGCATTGGTCAACTTTGAGGATGAGTTCGTTAGGGTAGCTTCACAGTAAAACTGATTGTGTGAAAAATGCCAATTCAGTTAAGGCTTTGAGCCAATTTCGGCTAAATGTGGCCTGTAGCTAGTCTGTGATCAGCTAGTTGTAAAGGTTTCTGTTGACACCATGTGGTTGTACGTCAAGCAGTGAGTACTAGGACATACAATTCGTATTCCACCTCAATGATTGAAGCGGAATAGATCGGACAATTTTTGTACAGTACAGAAGCATTTATCTGAGTTATTGAGAAAAAGCTCAGGTCCTCTAAGCAGGAATCTGCTTCCCGACTTTCCCGTGATTTCAATGCTTCAGATTTGGTCAGCTGGGTAATGGCGGGTCGACCTTAAGTGTAGCTCAGCCGCAGCGCGTCATGGAGTTGATGGGCGAGACGTGTTTGCAGTTGTGGTGTGGCCGACGTCACACGGTGGTCCTCGTAGCCAACGCCAACTCCCGCCCTCGAATCCTTGCTTTTGGTTCTGGAGTTGACGGCCAATTGGGACTGTCTAATCGTGACAGGGCCCTCATACCGCTCACTGTCAAAGGTATGCTGAAATGCCCTGTACTTTCTGCATGTTAAGTTAGAATTAAATGCTATGATCAGTTATGCTGCCTGTAAATTAACCCCTTTGTGTGAGTAGTCTTAGTGGCAAGATTAATTAAGGTTTATGACGACAAAAATATTCGTCCCTGGATGTAGCACTTTTGTTGTTGACGGATTTTTTTCTTTTCTGCAAGGTCCTTGGTCCTCTCAAGAGTCTTCGTCGTCGCCGGCAGAAGCCCCCCTTGTTATTTGTGTGTTCGCCGGCGGAGACCACTGTTTTGCCATCACGCACTCGTCTGGGGTGAGTATTCTTCCAGGCATAAATTACATCACCGAAATGGTTGCTTCAGCTGACGGTGCGATAGCGCATCGTGATCATTTGCCTAAAATTATGTCTCATATCTCTGATATTCATAAACTGAGAACTTTTGAAAACAATTGCCAACCCGAGTTCGTAAGTTGTGTAATGGCTAAGGCTACGCCATTGTTGTGGTTACAATAAAGAATTAATCCTTATTTATCAACCTACACTGACGGACACGTGGCGTCGATGAAATTAATAGTCGTTAGAACAGTGAGTTGGGATCGTCTGGAGACGAACCACCTTCCGATATTAATTATCCATTTAGGTGAGATTTTCGTACAGATTGCCATAGCTACGTGTGGTGTTTTTGTCATCTGCCTGACCACTCGCAGTGTCAATGTGGTGAGAACTGAAGGCATGCATTTGAACTAGGCGTTACCATGGCGCCATCTTTTCCCACAATCGCCGAGGTTGCCAACTCGGAGCTGGAAGCCCAACCTTACCGCCCCCCTCATCCTCCCCATCACATCATCATCATCATCATCCACGGTTTTTTCACAAATTGTTCACCATCGTATAGCTTAAAAGTGGAAAACTTATGTCACCCTTTACGGGTAAAACGTCTTTTGCTCCATCTTCCATCAGGCAGCCACTTTACGATCCACTTACTAAACAACCGGGGTACTGTTTGTAAAGCCATTATGGAGCACTCCAATTCGCGCCATCAGTTTCTGCTTCTTTGCTTGTCATGGTTATTTAAAGGAATCCTCGTTCGTTTCAATCCCGAATGTGCCGATTTCGTCAAGTATTTCCCAAATTGATTGCCTAAAACGATATCAACCAAAAGGGGCAAATCGCATCGACTGTAGTTCACGTCGACGGCTTGATGGAAAAGCACGTCTATTATGCTGGTTGGTCAGTGAGTTAGTCCACTTACCGTGTGACTACTGAAGACGTCCCTACTGGGATAAAGTCATTTTCGAGTTATGCCAAACTAAAATATACACTAGTCCTAGCTCTAAACTAAGCCAACGTGCTTATTAATTGATTGACTAAAAAGTGAAATCACTTGTAGATTTGGTTGTTTCAAAAATCTTGTCAATACTGCGGTATTTTCCCTTTGGCGCTTTAAAAATTTCACTTTAGTCTTATCTGAAAGCGAATTGCGCATAACTCTGTAGCTGCTATTTTGGGGCAAATTTTAACAACGTACGGCAAAATGAACATTTCCGGCATATTATGCTTTTGTTTTCGTAAAATTAACGAAATTGCTTGGGCTCACAAAGATTACGGGCCGTTTGCGATGTTGATTGATTAACAGAACTCATTTGAATGAATTGGTTTAAAAAAGTCCGTTATGGGAATTTTCATTCAAAGATGAGAAACACACCGATTGATCTGAGAATTTGATGATGACCAAATCAAGACTGGAATTGAAGCGAATTAAAATGTCATTAGCTCGATATTTGTATTCCGCATGAGTAGAATAAAACTCACTGAACATAAACTCTGTTTTTACGATAAGCATTTTAAACGCAATTAAATCACATTTTTTAAGACAGATTGTCAGTGTTCATGGAAATACGTCAACCACAATGACGTCGGTCGGAAACTTTCATGCCCCATGTTCATCTCGCTGAAGCCAGGATCCCTTTCATTACGATTCGAGTCGAGAGTGATCAACGTCAGCTTTGGACTCTTGAAGTTTCGTCTGCGCTTAGAGAGCTAAGAGAAAAGCCAGTGCCTGTTTTTAGCCCTGCAGTCTGTGTGGTTTATAGTTAGACGTTGTAGGGTTGAGCTGTAGCCAATTGTTTTGTCTTAAATTAGTCCTTTAACGTGTTACCTAGTTTTATTTCCGTTGCATTCCGTTACGTCACATGCCCTGCGTCAGCTGCTTGGTGTTCTGTTGGTGTACCATGAGTTCAGTGGGCAATACATTATTTCGTCTTCAAATTTCCGTTGTTAAGTTTTGGCTTTCAACAACTGGCATAAGCCTCAACACCTCCCAAGCGGCGAATTTTGTTGTCGCTTCTGGTACCCCCTACCTCGGTGCGGTGTGAGGGCTAATCCATACCCTTCTCTAACGTCATCGCCACCTTGTAATTCTCACCCTAACAATAGACTAAACGAAGTAGACATATATTTAAGATATTAATCATCCTACACTACATATTCAAACTCCCATCCCTTGGTTTTCAAGTGAAATTTTAGGTGCAATTTCAAAATGCGTAATTTTTGCTCCATACCAGCTTTATCACTCCCTAAACCACCCACTTGGGTTGAACTAATTGTATAGTAGAAACAGAATGTCGATCACTCATAATCCCATTTTCTGATATCCACGTGAAGCTTGCATGCCCTCCTCCACTGGATTTCCGAAGATGGCTCTCTTGCAACCTGGGAAGCATTTGTACCTTCTCGGAACCTCTCCTGAGGCGTTACGAAGCCGGCTTATCCCCTCATCCTCGTCTGCCTTGTCGTCGACGCAGCAGAAAGTTTTCGTCCGCCGACTATTCCGGCGATATAAGTGAAGCCACCTATTGTCTCGAGGCCTATTCTCCGCAAACAGCCTTTAGACGACTTGAATCTGCTTTCGGCTCAATCGGCTGCCTTGCCTCAAGCCTGCTGGTCGACTGGTAAGCCCTCCCCACCCACCTGCACTACCTCCACTCCCCCCTTCTGTGATCTGTGTATAAGTTACAATTGTTAAAAACCCTGCGCCAATCTCACCGAGTTCAACTATTTGACACAGAAGCAAAATAACCCACAGCGTCACTCGTCAACTCGAGCCCGTTATTTGCGCTCCAGTGCTCACACTGCTGTCTCAACTTTATGAATCTTTTCAGGACAGCAATTCTAGTGCAAGTGGTTCTTATTTTTTTTACCAGCGAAGGTCGAAGTCATTATTACATCAGTCGTGCAGACCACGGCATGGACTTGGATGCGGCCCACGAGCTCCAGGAGGAGCTCTTCCTTCTCACGCCACCCGACGAGGCCAGACGTCTGATCCGCTCTCTCATAGAGGTTATTTCACCGCCGCGTCACAACTTCCCTGATCTAGAGTGTCTGCGGGCCTTTGTTTTTCTGTCTGTTTCTCCTCTTCTCGAGACGCCGAGCACCGATGGGCCAGAGAAGATGGATGCCTCATCGACATCGGTGATCTTCGAGAATGAGGAACCAGTTGACTGGTACCCCACCGTTCTAGCTGGTTTTGCACCCGGATTCGTCCTTGGTTTCTTTTGCCTGGCGATAAACCGGCTCGATGCGGTGCCATCTTCTGTCATAGGTAAACACGATGCGCATTCCAACAGCCACGAGTATTCTAGCGGAGTTCTAGTGGGCAAAAGTGTGCAATCCTGTGCGAATCGACGTACCCATAATCCCCGATGCAGCAATGTGTTTGATTATCATTCTTCAGTAACATGTTTTCACGGCTTCTAGAACAACTTTAGTTCCAATTCAATGACCGGACAAACTTCTTTTTTTAAATGCCATAAACGTGCAAAAAGTCTAGTCTCCGTGTAGTCACTTGGCGAGGTGTCTAGTCGAATAGTTGCGACTCTTGCGTGAATACAAAATTGTGCCAATTCATCCAGTTTATCAGTGAATCTCCGACTAAATAATCCCACACAATTAAGATGAGAGCATTGCATCGGTGGTATGCAGAAGGAGGACATGGTGGTTGCCAAATCAACATTTCAAGCCGACTAACTTGTTCCACTAGTTTGCCTTGTGTATGATTTAGTGCTACAAACGAATGCTTGTTGAAATCAAACCCAAATTGCTACTTCTTTGAATCAGTTGGCAGTTTTTGAACTCGCAGCACTTTTCTATAACCTACATAGCCATTCATAATCTTCACACAAACTGTTTTGTTTAGGCTGCCATTACACAACCCATGAGAGATTGCTCGCCACTCCTAAAAACCACCATAACTACTACAAATTTTGACTATATGCATCTTCTCTGTGACCCCCCTGAAATATTCTTGATCGATCATAAAGTTTGGGGGTGTTTGTTGCTCCGCTCCTGAAATGGCCTTATCTAAGTCGTGAATGCTTACACGAATTTTCATGCAAATGGTTACTATCCTATTCTTGCTACTTGGATAACTAAAGCCATTTGCAGGTCCGCTTTTGTTTGCAATCCAGTTTCTCCCCGTGCTCTTTGGTATGTGGATTGCGGTTTCTGTTTGAGGAGCTAAATGTGGGTTGTAGTAGCCTTTTGATGAAGCAATCGAGACATGGAGCTTCCTCTGTGTTTCGTTGTTTGCGTCCTTTGCTTTTTGATGCATATTGGGTCGAGTTCGAGGGCTTACTTACGCGACATTGTTTCGCCTAGATACTCAACGTCAGTTTAGCTGGGGGATTTTATTGCTTTTCCTGCCTAGTTTCAAGCAGAAGCGCCACTTTTTCTTCTTGACGAAACTCGTGGTACACGCCTTACTTATTGAGCCATGGCATTGGTAGAAATTTTCTTACACTAAAGTACTTTTGCCGTCAAGGCGACCATTGGCCTTGTCACAAACGAATTTTCATAGGTCCGATATATGTTGAAGAGAAACTTTCCCCAACTACCAGGCTGACAGAATTTCTCTAGAAAGACCTCGATTTATGAGAAAGTCGGTGAATAAGTTTAACGTGTGGCTCACGCACCAGTAAGCACACTCACCCGGCAAACAAATAAGGAGCCCAGCGCGGTAGGCGAGGTTTGCGGGTGGTGTGCAGCCTGCATGGAAGATGGTGATACAAGGAAGGTCAGTACAACGGGCCCTCGATTCAACGCTCCCCTGTCCACCTGTCCGTAGGGCGTGCGGCAGAAACGTTGAGCCCTTCGTGGTAGCGCATGCTGCGATGCGGGGCCAGTCCCCCCATCGGCTGTACTCTTGCATTAACGGGACATCGCCTATTACAAATTACACTCTTAATGTTCATGTCGTTGAGGAAAGCTAAGGCCACCTGTTTAGCCACCCACACCTTCACTGACTAATTTGCCAACTTGATATGCTTGCATTTATTTCTTAGTGCCTGAACTTTAATTATACCTCCTCCCCTAATTGTCAAGTTTTTTCACCTCTGATTTTTTCCCCAACAGACTCTTGGTTCAAGGGATTCCAACCGCGTTTTTTCCGTCGCTTGGTCGCTGTGAGCTTTTGATCCACTGATACTTTGGTGCTGTTTTACTTGCAATTATTTACTTGCTTTTTTGTTTCAGAATCTGAACAACTTCGTTGCGTATCTGTGTAATTTCAAACGGCAACAACAACATGAAGGCTCTGCAGTGAGTTATTTCTGTGACTTTGTTGCTTCAAAATAAGGTCGATTCGCGTTTCCGTGGCTCCTTTACTCAGATACACTACTGTCCTCGCATTTTGCCCTTACAAAGGAATGCATTTTGTTGGATTAAGAATCCCGGTTTTTGAATGCAATTTAACGGGATTTGGTATATCTGTCTGTAATTGAATGCAATCTTGGCTTACAAAATGGATTAGGCCGAAGCCTGTTGTCCCTACTTCCGTTGCGGAACTTTGCATCACTGTTAACTGAAAAACCCCAGGGTCTGTTATTAATTGTGAACTGGCTATCACTGTTGAGCACCTCTGAAGTGCTGAACAGAATCGTAGTGAATTGGAGCTTTAAGGTTGACAAAACATGGCAGGCCGGTCAAGCTCCGAACCTTTTTGCGCAATGTCCTGTATGCGTTCTTCGTTGATGCGTAGTTGGTAGGCAGTCGCAAGCATATGGCGTTTTGTGGTTGACCTGGGCCCGCCACAATGCTTGAATGGGTGCCGCGCGATCTGATTATAAACTGAAACAAATAATTATCGTGGTTTTTCGCCTCTGGTCCTCCTTAGCTTACCACCTATTTCCAACGTTGTTTCAATTTTCGGCCGGGTTTTGATCCCGCTTAGCTAGTTAGGATGGATTGTCATTGCCGAAAATCGGGGCACCAGACTCCTAGCTAAAGAGTGACTCGGCTTTGATGCGTTTTCTGGGACAAATAACAAACGAATGAGACTGTGACTGAAGTGTGGAAACGGGCGGGTTGCGTTGTCTAGTTTTCGGCCTGATGCTCTTGGGCGGCTTCGCCTCGTCTTCTAGTTGGCCGATGTTAGTGAAGCAAAAGGCCAAGTAAATCTAAACCAGCTACTCCATCAAAGACTATAATACTGGTTTAAAGAGGATCATCGTCCATCGAATACTTCAAGGTCAGGTCGAATTCGGAACAAGGCTTTTTTTAGCTAGAAGGACACGTATGTCTGGGCAGCATGTGAACATGTATTTCATTTTTGACAGAAGTCCCTTTGTAAGCCGTTTAGCCGACCAGATCTTTTAGCAGCCCCCTTGCCGCCAGCCGTAGTCCTAATGTCTTAAAGCGGATACGTTCAATCTTGTAATTTTTAATGGAAACCTGCAAAGCGTTTGCTAAGAAACGATGAAAAGCCGTTGTTACCATTAACATCTTGTTTTTCACATCAACTTGTGTATTATAGCGAATGATCGTCGTAAACGCCATTCACGGGGCATTGGAGCTTATGGGGCGTCTACGTGCAGTGAGTCGCGCGCTTTGTAGCATCTTAAGCCTCTTATTTTTGACTCTTTTCAAATCGTTCCTTTTAGATAAATGTGAAGAGACTACAACCCATAAGTTACACATGTTTTTATATCCATGTGCTGACAGAAACCTTCGATGTGACCAAGTTTGTTGATTGGCTTCACCAGCGCTACTCTCGCGAAAAAGTAGTTTGACAATTTAAATGCCATATCTGTAATGGCTCTACGTTAGTTGAACCCCTTATGCTATTCTTTTTCATATTTCAGACCATCAATTCCTACACCGGCCAGTCAGTTCCTCCTGTAAGTTGTAACGTCTGCGAGCGTCCCCTTTCCAAGTATTACCGCGTGCTAAATTCGAACTTCCTTTCACATTTAAGCAAGGTGAACGCCAAGGCATAAGGGGCCTTTCGGTAATGTGATCCTAACACCCGCCTCCCTCAGCTGATGCTGTGGTTTCACCATAGATTTAACCCCTCCAAGTCCTCCTCCTCCTCAGTTAAAGCGCTAAATGCGACGCCAGAGATCACTCTGTCGCCAGATTAGTTGACTAGGCTCTGTGTGTGTGTTGTCTTTTAGCGGAGATTTCGGTTCTGGCGTTCGAAGTCTGTACCCCCCAAGCCACAACAAAACCAGGTACGCTGGATAAGATCAGTCGAATCACACTTCTCTAACCTAGCCCATTGTAATAAGGCGTTGCTTATACATTCTATGAGCGCAAGAAAGCCTAATTTCAGCCTAGGCAGTGAACCGTTCACCACCCACCTAAGTTGCGTCAGGGCCATTTGAGTGTTTGGGTGCGGCTTTTTCGCAGCAACTTCCACATCTGCGGCATTCCTGTAACTTACTTTCTGTGCGATATGCAAAATCATTGAAGCATTACAAAATAATCACACGCCCCTTTTTTAATCGATGACTAATTTCAGGTAGTAAACACAAATAGACTTCCATTGTGAAAATAGACAAGCTGAGGCAGTCTTAGCCTGACAACTACTGGTCCCTTTATTGTTTGTCAGCCATTATTTATTGAATTTTGGCACCTTTTGCCATTATCCAACTTCCAAGAAGCTATTGACACAGATGTCCAGTGTGCAATTAGGCTGCCGCGGACGCAACGACAAATCTCAATCGGTGACTTTCCCCTATTACTCTACTAAGTGTGTGTGCGTGTGTGTAAAGGCGTGTGCAAACCATTCGGTGATACCCAGCGCTCACGTATGTCGCAGGCATTCCAAGTAAAGGGCGTGTATTATTTCCTTCAGGACTTCTCTATCTTCGATTACCCCTTCATTTTCGATATGGTTTGCAAAGCGCAAATGCTGGCAATCGAAGCGAAGCTCAGTCAACACCTGGCGATGCAGAAGGCGTCGAACGACATCCTTGGTCCGCAGCTGACTCGCCTTTTCGGGGGAATCGTTCAGCCTTACCTATTTATTGAAGTCTCCCGATGTAATCTCATTGCCGACACATTGGACCACCTCGCGAACTACTCTCCCGCCGAGTTGAAACGCCCACTTAAGGCAGGTCAACAATCCAGTCTTTTCTGGTTTGTTGCTTTTAAACTACAGCAGTGACAATTCTATTAAGTTTTAGCACCTCCAGTCACTGCTATTATCCTGTAGGTTGGTTTCTTCTAACACATTTGTGTAAGATGTACTTACAATGCAAAATTACTTGCTCCAACTGACGGAAAGTTAATTTTTGAACCACTGAGCTAATAAGGACTCTTTTCAACTTATTGTTATATAGAGAAACAATAAATACTTGGTGACCGGTAAAATTACTTGGCTCCCGGGAAATGTGGATTAGAACTCGTTGTAAGTCCTTTTAGCAACCCATGTGGTTTTGGATTGTGTCGTCAAATAGAGAATGTTCGGTATTTTACAAACTTTGTGGAGGACGACGAGCTAATTTCAACAAATGCCTCCTCGGATCCCCCAACAAGTTGTAATGCAGGTTCAAAGTAGCCCTCCCAGTGTTACGGCTACACCAATGTTACGGCTTCGCATTGAAGTTAAGGGTTCTTTCCTTTTTTTGAGGAAGTCGTGCACTTTTTATTGAGACAGCCTGGTTAGAAAACACCACGAAAGATACGGGAATATTTTCAGGGTAATACGTGTTTACCTAATAATCGGGAATCAATACTCGAGGTAAACAGGTTATTCGAAATGCGGATTTCGATAGTGTTGCAAATGACTGCAGCTAGTGCTTTTGAAGGGGATCAAGAGAAAGTTGCATTTGAACCGCTGTGAAGCCACAATGTCAGTTGACCAAATGAATATGACAGCGTTTGGCGTGCGACTTTGAACACGTGGATGTTGGCCGCGACTCTTGCAGCGTCGACGGTATTGTGACAACCTTGCTCTGCAGATGTCTCCCCTTATTTGTTATCCTCTGCATTAAGATGATTCTGATGGCGAAAAGACACGCAGTGGCAGACACAACCGCTTATTCACCTGCCCGGTATGTGTCTGCAATTGCGTGCTTCGAAGGGGTGATTGAACAAGCATTGAGGCTCGCTGAGGCCCAGGGGAATGCGCCTGCTGTCGAATGGTCGTCAAACGGGTCTTCGTGAGGGCTTGGCTGACGGGGACGCTAACTGAACTGTCAGTTAAGTAGTACAGGAGTGACCCTCACTTTCCACCAGGGGCGTGCGCCATTAAGGTTTGAGGCTTCTGTTGGCCTACGTGCCATACTTCTGACTCGCCGACAACGTTTCGGGTAAATGTGTGAACTATTTTTAAAGGCTGCTGGTTTTGGAAGCAACTGAAGCCCGAATGCAAGAAGTACGAGAGGGCAAGGCACTCCTACGTGGCAGCACAAATCAGAATGCTGCCGTAAATTTGACCAATTTCTAACCCGTGTTTTCTTTAAATCCAGATTCGGTTCAGAGGTGAAGAAGCCATTGATGATGGTGGAGTTGTGAAAGTGGGTTGTTTTAAAATTTCGTGTAGAATCCTCCTGCTTCACTTACTGAATAAACACTTGCCTACACCTTTAGGAATTCTTCATGCTGATCATGCGTGAGATTTTGAATCCAGCGTACGGTATGTTCAAAGAATATCCTGAGTCACGGATGTTATGGTTCAACGAAATTGTGAGTTCAATGTTTTAATATTCTAACTTGTCCTTTAATCAAGCTTAAAAACTTATTTAACTTCCCGTCTACCGGACTCATCAGCTTTAAACTCTTAACCACGCAAGTGTGTGCAACCTAAATCATGGTGTTCTTGCAAACTCAATACTTGCAACCCGGACTCGGTCGTATAACATGTTCAAAACACGCGAGAATGCCCTTTACTTATCATGTAGGCTCAAAACACTCGCTTAATTGAAAATCAAGCGACCTATTTATTCGTGGAACATGAAGTTAAGTAGTTGAATATTACAATTGCCAAGTCAATTCATGGCAATTTAGTAAGTTATCGAGTCCTTGCTGACGATGATCTTAAATTGCCTATTGTTTTCCTTTTAACAGAACATGGAAACCCCTGAAATGTTCACCATGGTGGGTGCACTATGCGGACTGGCCATCTACAATTCTATCATCGTGGATCTCACTTTCCCAACAGCTTTGTTTAAAAAGTTGTTGGATGAGGAGCCTACATTAGATGACCTCAAGGAATTAGACCCGGTGGTGGCTAATTCATTACAGCAATTGCTGGATTACGAAGAACCTGATTTGGAAGATACCTTCGCCCTCACATTTGAGGTAATATCATTTTTCTTGTCTTGCAAAGGGTCACGCCTATTTTCTCCAGTAGTAGAGTCGAAAAATAAGGCGCCCATCCTTTAACGTTGGCTCAATCTCTCCTTGTCGACACGAGCGCTGACGCCACCGTCTACTTTAAAGTCGCATCAGGGATTTTTCATGATGTAATTACAGCAGGGGTCCATTTAAAATGTGCGTGCAAAGCGGTCTTCAAGTGGTATTAATGCTGTGTTAGACGAGATTTTCTAAACTCCTTTTAATATTTCAGACGCGCAGTAGCTACTGGAGTTTTTTTAGGTGGTTTACCAAGTGTGACCTCCTTAAGCCTCAGATCATCTGGGAATTACTATTGTCATAGCTGTCACGAGTAAACTACCTGAACAAGTTGTGGTAAATCTCCTGAACCGAGGTGACAGACGGTGGTTCTGTTTCGGGTTTACGACAGTTTTATACAGATCAGAAGTGGACTAGGTCACTAGTCTCTGGCGATTTAAGCTGAGCGAAAATTCACGGATCCGACTCCCACAAGGCTAACAGTAACCTTGCGGACAGACGTGAATTTATGTAAAACAAAAATTTTAATGAAATGGACTGTTTTTTCAATTTACACTTAGACGGGTAGAGTACAGGACCAACCTGCGAGTGTGAGCAAACCCTACGGGTTGCTCCTGTGTGGTATTAAGCTTCCCTAGGCCCCTCATCCCCAACAGCACCTAGCAACACAGTGAAACCGATGTTTGTGGCTTCCTCCTCGGTCAAGTGCATCGTAACGGCCTGGTGTGATATAAGTGCAGTTTAATTTCTCTTTTCGTATGTATGTTTCAGCAAACTTCTTACTGTTTTGTCGTTCTTTGCTAATCTCCATGTTGTTGCTCTGACTGTCTAGGTTATTGTGGATAATTACGGTGCTGTAAAACACGTTCCCCTTATTCCCTCCGGTGGCGACGTGGCGGTGACTCAGGAAAACAAGCACAAATTCGTAGAGAAGTACGTTGACTACAAGTTCAACAGGAGTTGTAGCTCCGTTTTTGAAGCTTTCAAACGTGGTTTCTTTAACGTCTGCTCAGGATACGTGATAAAGATGTTCCAGCCCAGTGAGCTGCACGTGAGTCCCTTTTGCGTGCCTGTCTTTGTTGAATCCGCTAGTGTTGTTATGTTGTCCGAACTGCGACAGTGTGCATTGTGCTCATCACCTGACGAAACAGTTGACTATGAGGTACGATGTTAGCGTTTTGGCCCGTCGCCGTGATCCAACTTGCCAATTGTCCTAGTGTTGCTGACTAGCATTCGCGCTGCATCGAATGTGCGCTAATCACTTGCACTCTGACACGTTTTTAAGCGTCTTTAAATGATCGTTTGCGTCGCTCGCATATTGTTGTTTTTTGATTATCGGGATTTCTTAGCCCAAAGTACACCCAAAAGCCAGTTTTGGAATGCATGATATGCTTGTTTTGTATCTTGCGATTCGGCTTTTTACACTTAAAGAGCATGGTGGTTGGTTCGGAGGAAATCAACTGGCAGGATCTGCGAAAGAACACGACCTACCAAGGCGAGTACTGGGACCAACATCCGGTTATTCAATGGTTTTGGGAGGTGCTGCTGGACCAGTGCAACTTAAAAGAAAAGAAAAACTTCCTGCGGTTTCTGACCGGCTGCGATCGCGTGCCCATGGTGGGCCTCTCCGGCATCAAGGTAAATCACTCTACAAACAACTTCGCTTGGTTTTTTACAATGTTCGAACCTGTTCCAGTTCAGTCAGCACCCGAAATAAGCTGTCGAGTCAATCTTCTTGGAAAACATCTCTATGCATGGTTTATTGGTGGCGGGATTGACATCACACCAGCCAGCATATTTTTACGCCTCTCTGTAAATATTTTTGTGGTGCATCTAACAAGCGAAACGCCTTCATCGCTTCGCTGAGATCCATCTTTACAAAATATTCGGGTGCCCGTAGCTGTCCTCGAAAACTCCGGCTCAGTTGTTTAGCGCTCTGAATCACTTAACCGAAAGCTCACTCGTACAACGGAGTTAAAAGATCTACACGATGACTTTGTCAACAGAAAACAAATTGGATAGAACAATAAATGTTTGCTGACTCCCTATTTTCACGCAATATGCTAACACGGGTAATGTGTTAGGTTCGATGCAGCGTCAAAAACCTTAATCCTGTCCGATTTGCTAAATTGGAGTACGTCTGGGATCGTAACGGGCGCATTAAGCTTCGAAAAGTGACCATACCACTTTGTCACAGGGTGTCCTCCCATAGAACTTGGTCAGCAGACCCGAATCAAACTCGATTATATTGTAAACGTGGGCATTAATAATTGATATCAAAAAGTCGTCATTTACTTATTTCTCTACCCCTACAGATTACAATCCAACCGAATAACAGCGGGGACGCCTTTCTACCAGTAGCACACACCTGTCACAACATCCTCGATTTGCCCAAATATAGCAGTAAGGAGATCTTAAAGGAGAAATTTATGCAGGCGATTGAGAACACGGAAGGCTTCGGACTCGTTTAACAAAGACTATTCTCTCTCTACCCTCCTCTTTCCAGTGCTTTCCCTTCAGTTGTTGTCCAACGATTTGTTTGGTTACCACCACAGCCTGTTATTTACACGCTTATAAGCACGCGTGTTTACATGATTTTATATCGAACAGAAAATTTTGCTAAAAAATTGGGTGAAAAGACAATTTAAATATGCTGCTTTGTTGTTTTGGTGACGACGGTAATTATCTTCGTGGCTAGGTAAAGATATTTTAGGGTATTGTGACAAACCCTTATCTTACAATTCAAAGAGGATCATCTGAACATCATAGCGGGGATATTTTAAACATGTAGTGGATTGAGCCACTCGGTCAACGGGGAATTCGGTAAGCAGAAAAAAGCGCTCGCATTACGCAAAGAAAAGCTGGTCAGAAGGCGTACGCCGTACACGCTATCTTAAGGCCATGATTACGGAGTGGGTAAACTTTACAGTTTTCCAAATTTTTACGTTATGCGCAGAATTATTGCAGCTCTGATGCTTAGGTAGTTCAAAGAACCCACAAAACTGGCTTCGACTAAAATTAAGCCTCAGAGTGCTGTTATGGTTAGCACATTGATTATTAAACGATAAGTGCTGTTTTCCGTAACAAATGCCCAACTGGGTAAATGGCATTCCCTTTTATTTGAGAATTCTTACGAATATCCTAGTGTTAATTTTGGAGATGAAGACCCACTCGGTATTTTGCTTGGTTTCATGCAACGAACTACTATGAGAGTCAAGCAACGAAAATCCAGAGCAGTGTTGGGACAATCACGGGATCAAGCGGCTGACCAAATTAATACCATTTTGCTGTAAAGTGTCATTTCAAGGTGGAAGCTATGAATTTCTACAGGGCAAATAATACTCATGGATACGGTAAAAGTTGAATTATTTAGATCTATGCATCATAGATCGCATACCCAAATAAAGGAATCACGGTTTGCTACGACTTGACATAAACTAATTGACCGAACGGTTCTACACAGAAACAATCCCGTTAATTTTGGTACACGCATGAAGATGCACGACCTTACTTTATGTGAAAGTGGATTTGGGGAAGGAAGACTAAAGCGGATGATGTACTAATCGGTTTCTAGCTAGACGAAAAGCAATGATTAAAAACTGCACACTGGGAAATATATTCGAACAATGTTCAAATAAACGAAAACGACTCGATACGGAGCCTTGTGACATGAAAATTATGGAGCCATAGTGAGATGAGTTTACTTGGGATACTAACAAAAAGCATTCAAAAGTGTGTAAAAGCGGTAATCGTACAAAGCAGAAGGCATAAAGAATAGTCAGCATGTTACGAAAAACCGATAAATAAAACGTTTCCAATAATGAACAAAAGGAGGTCGGGTTAGAAAAGGGGAAGTGACACGGTAAAATATATGCGGTAATCATGTTAGAAACTGAAATCTTGCAGGCCTTAAATGCATCAAGGAAATTATACCGTCGTGTTTTCTCAGTGCCGACAGTAGTCTGATGACCAATTGTACAAAATTTAATCGGACGGAACGGAATATAATGATAATGTGCACTGCTTGGGCAATGAACTAATGTAAAACAAAAAAAAACAAGAGCTAAAAGAACTAAAGTACAGATACCACATGGCTTACGCTCCATTAAAAAAATAAGAAACACAAGGAATAGGTAAACAGTATGGTGGGCATGGGCAGCGGGATTGCTTGGACTAGGGAGGAAGAAGATAGGTAGTATAAACTGCAGACAATACATCTAAAATATAAAATTCATCCACTTTAAGATAAATATGCATTAACAATCACGTACACGTGGAAGAATTAGCTCGCCACTCAAGCACATGTAAATGCAAATTGAGACACTAAACCGAAGGACGCGGCAATGTACTTTGACGACTAACTGCCAATTTAGCGAATGCCAACGACGCAGCCTATAATTTTTAGCTTAAAAGCTAACACAGCAATGATACCTAAGCACTAATGTACATTTTACAAAACCACTTCGTGAAACTCACCCTTATCGCATGCCTCACTTTATATGCTTCGAAAATAAAATGTCTGTTGGTACATTGTACTTTCTCCGATTCCTGTGTAGATCGTCATTCAGTTTTAATAATTTACGCTTTAACAAAGACATTTAGTTGATTTTTGAATCATTTGTTGTAAAATAGCACAAAGAATGCAATATGGGTAGAAA